CGGGTACAGATCAATAAATAAATTGTAGTTTAATAAATTCATTCATCTTCAACTTTTTAATCCAGAAATAGTTTTGTGTAAATTTAATTTAAGAAAATAAACCAATATATATAAAAATTAAATCTAAAATAAATGTTCTCTAAATAACTCCTAACTAACTAACCGACTGTGAAGTAATAATAATCGAAATTGCACTTTTAGCAAAAGTAAAAATTATATTGCTCCAAATTTAAGATGTTACGGAAATTTTTAAAATAATTAAAAAATGATTTAAGTTTGTTATAATACCTATTTTACACGATTTTATCACCAAAATAAAATTAAAACATTGGAAAATAGCAACAATCAACAAGAATATATAGGCATGCACGATCGGAACGAATAAAGAAAATTAAAGGAAGTAAAAAAAGATTAACAAAGAAATTTAACATAGTTAGTTAGTCTACTTGCATCTATGAATTCCAGCAGTTTAATATCAACCTATAAACTATATAATATGTATCTAATATTTATGTAATATATTATAAATGCAATAGCCTAATATGGTCAGAGTTGAAAACCGTGAAACGTTCACCTGGCAGTCCAGATATATAGCTATCGAGACGTCCATGCCTGAATCAAATATTATTGTTTGTAATAATTTGGTAATAATAATTAACTATATTTATATATAGAAAAGAAAGAGAGATAAGAGATAAAGAAAGAGAGAAAGAGAGAAAGAGAGCGGGAGAGAAAAGGAGAGAGAGAGATAAAGACAAGATAGAGATAGAGATAAGATGTATGTTTATATGCTTGATGGCGGTCTTTGATAGCTATTTAACGATTGGAAGAATATTGCTAAGTGTGAGTGTGCTGATCATGGTTGGTGTAATTTGATGTTAGGATGTTAATGTTTTGTGACGTCATTTCTTTTGATGTCAATTGGTAGGGGTGTAATTTCTTTTAATGTTATGCTATGTAATGTTATTTGATGCTATTTCCTCTGCGTTAGGTCCTGTTATATAACTGTTGTTAATTCTTTCCTAATTGACCTTAATAACAGCAACAACAACAACAACAGCAGCAACAACAACTACTACTACTGCAACAAACAACAACAAACAACAACAATAATAATAGTCGATAATTGGTTTTCGAAAAAGTGAGTTCCTTTGATGTAACATTAACCGAAAATTCATATCTATTTTTTTTTGTTTATTAACCTTTGAAATTCGAAACTTTAGTGTTTGTTTCCAAAGAAATTTATATAAAAATAAATAATAGATTAGATAAAAATAAAGATTTTTATAGAATAATAATACTAAAAACAAAACCAGTTTGATCATTACTTAAAAATGCAAACGACATTGGGATGAAGATTCATGTGTTTACCTGTAATAAAACAAGATTTCGTTTTCAAGAAGCATAGAGAGAAAGAAAGAGAGAGAGAAAGAGAGAGAGAGAGAGAAAGAGAAAGAAAGAAAGAGAGAGAGAAGCACAAAGAAAGAGAAAAGGTTCAGAGAGACAAAAAAAAAGGATAAGAGTAAAAGAGAAAAAGATTTATAATGAATGTCGAGTTATTTTTCAGTTAATAAATTTTAATATATAAAATTATATAATGTAAAAATGATTTTAGGATCATATTTTCTTGATGAATCATTTGATGGTATCAATCAACAACACAAACACAAACACACACACAAACACACACACAAACACACACACAAACACACACACAAACACACACACAAACACACACACAAACACACACACAAACACACATACACAGCGTATTGGAATGGAAGTGATACAACGCATTACACGCTATTCTTATAACAAACAAAGATCTTCTTGCAGTCGAACCCTGTGACTGCAACGTAGATACAGGCTGCTTAACTATTATAGCTTTTAAGCTGCCCACTAATATAACATTATAAGTAACATAAATAATGACTTTTTCATGAATATATAACCTCAATAAGAATAAATATTAATTTTAATATTCACATTATAAATATATATTATATATAATTCTTTTTTTTCTATTCTGCAAACATAATTCTTAAATTATGAAAGTGTTTGATATGTGTTTGGTATGTGTGTGTGTGTGTGTGTTAGTGTGTGTATATGCGTTTGTGTGTGCATGTGCGTGTGTGTGTGATTTAATGCCAGAGCATTCTAAGAAAGCCTTCTCTCATAAATTATCTTTAAAGAAAAGTTCTAGAATGGCCTAAGTGATAAATTTTATTTTCTAACAAAAGCGGGAAAAATAAGCTTTTTAAATGATAATCTACCTAAAATTTGATTCAAATTTTCCATTTTGGAAAATCAAACCCAATTGAATTGTTAAATTAGCCAGGAACTGAGTTAGAAAAACTAACTTTACTAAAAAAATCCGTCAGATGAATTTTTCATTGGCTCGCTAATATCTGCTAATGCATTGTTTTAATGCAGTTCGATTTGGAAATCTCGAGTTCTTTCAAGATTTTTTGCTTAAAAATTATTCGTCAAACTAATAAAAAAATTAGACAAACTTTTAGCGGCTGAATTCTTAATGTGAACTAATTTAATATATATTTTAAAAAATTATGAGATCAAATATATTTTATATGATGAAAGAGAAAGAGAGAAGAGAGAAAAAGACAGTCACACACACAGACTGACAGACAGATAGAATGAAAAAAAGAGTGAGATAGAAAAAAAAACAAAAAAATTAAAAAAAAGAAAAAACAAATCATTTTCTTCTTACAATCCAAAGCTAAGTGCAGCGATGTTTTTTCTAAGATTTCCATGTAAACTGCCAAACTGCAGTCCATCCAGAACTAGTTGGTCAAATTTGGTTGAGGGTTGACCACACTACCCCCCTGTTTTTTTAAATCTGCCATGAGTGACTGATGGCCGTGGATTTCTGTTAGATAGCTTTTCTCATTTAAACGCATGTGTTTAAAATTCCTTGTTGACTTGATCGAAATTTAAAAAAGAGCTCAAAACTTTTACTTAATAAAAAGAATATCTAAGATAATAATCTTAGATATTCTTTTTATTAAAAATGTATCATTTGTTTATAAAATAGGATATATAAATTTTTAAATAACAATACATTTTATGTCTTAAAATATTTATATACCTGAATTAATCTGAAAAAAAGAAAAAAATCTTTCAGTTAATCTAAACATACGCGCTGCACAATTCTGTGTGACACGAACTAAAAGCCTAATAAAAACGATTGCTCCCAAAAGGCAGACATGGACATCCTTTTCCAGAAATTCGCGCACACACACACACACCACACACGCACACACACACACACACAAAAGTGTGTGATTGCTTTTGCGTGTGTATATGTGTGTGAGTATGTGTAAGTGTGTGTGTGTGTGTGTGTGTGTGTGTGTGTATGTGTGTGTGAAAAAGAGAGGGCAATGATATAGCGCTCGATTTTATCTCTCTATATCAGGCAATATCATGCGAACATCTGTGCTACGCGAGCTGTCAATAAGCCCTTATCCCATAAAGCAAACAATTGACTTGTTCGACTCCTGCCTAATAAATTATCCTATTTATTTATTTTTGTTCATTTATTTCGTAACCTTTTATATGGAATTCTCGTTATAGCGAACTCTTATTTAGCGAACTTTTAATAAAATGAATTGCTTGCTGTTTCAATATGGCAGACTCTTTATAGAATGAACAAAAAGCCGTGGGATTCATGTTCGATTTTTTTTCTTCACCTAGTAGTTCAGAAAGTTTTAGTAGCAGTACTAAGTGCAGTAGCTGTTGATGTAGTTGTAGTTATTATTATTGTTATTATTATTACTGTTGTTTATTATTATTTTTTATGAGTTGATTGAAAAGTTATCAAAAGTATCGTCTCATATCGCATACTGAGTATTCCATGGAATCATTCGCTGATAATTGCGATACGTCGGAAATGGCAAGTGTGTATATTGAGGTGTTTGTATCTTTGTATGTGTGTGTGTGTGTGTGTGTGTGTGCGCGCGTGTGCATGTTACAATCATAGAAACGTCAATCTTGGCATTATTTAGCCTGTCAAATGACATTTTGGAGGTCTGTGTTTGTGTGTATGCATGTGTTTGTACGAATGTGTGTATGTTGTATGTATGTTTGTATGTGTGCGTGCGTGTATGCATGTGTGCGTGTATGATTATACGTATGTATGTGTGTGAGAGAGAGAGAGAGAGAAAGAGAGAGTGAGAGAGGGATGGAGAATTCATGGAATATTAAGTATGCAGTTGGGAGTGTTTATATTTATGTTTGTCGGTGTGTGCATGCACTTTGTTTTTGCGTGTGCGTGTGTGCGTGTGTATAGTGTACGTGTACTATGAGAGGTATGTTAGGTTATCCACAGTTGACTAACAACACACTTTGGGTTAGAATGGGAGATAGAAATCATTAACGTAACCGTCAGTCGTCTGTCAGAATTGATGGGTATCGAAATCACTCCACTCTCCATTATATTGGGTAGTAAACTTTCTCCAAACCGCTTCTTGGACCTTTTAGAAAATTAGAAATTGTTGTTATTATTATTATCATTGTTGTTGTTGTTTTGTTGTTATTGTTGTTGTTGCAAATGTTGTTGTTGTTGTAGTAATTGTTGTTGTTGTTGTTGTTGATGATGTTTTTTAATTATCAATTTCACCCCTACACAAGACTTAAAAATCAAACCAATGAACATATGTATCATAAATCATATCACATCATGACGTATCATAGGTCATTTAATTATTGTAAACAGTGAAAATTGCATCGACTACGTCATCAGCTACGTCATCATCATCCTCATCAACATCAACAACAACAACATCATCATCGTCATCAACATCATCAACAACAACAATAACAGCAACATCACTATCACAAACATCATCGTCGTCATCAGCAACAACAGTAACATCATCATCAGCATCAACGTCAACAACAACATCATCAACAACATCATCAACAACAACAAAATCAACAACAACATCACTATCATCATCAACGTCAACAAAATCAAATAAGACATGGATCTCAGAAACATGACACAACTATATCTATTAGGCGACATTTTCAACGATACTAACAACAACTACACCACCAACAACGACAATAACAACAACAATAATATAAATAATAATAATAACAATAATAATTTTAATGTGACAAATTCACACAATGAAAGAAATGACACATACGAGTATGAATATATCTGCAGTATCTACGACTTTGTGACGGAAGGTATGATACATTTTATCATTATTATATTTTATTTTCTGATGTTTATTTTCTACTTTTTTTCACACGCGTACACGCACACATACACACACACACGTACATACACGCACACACGTACAAACACACACATACACACACGCGCGCGCGCGTGCACACACTCTGTGTTTTGAATATCTCACCTTCGAATAATAACCCTGTGATTCTTAAAGCACAACACACACAACGAAATCAAAACACACACACACATACACACCCACTCACACATATTCACACACACACACACACACACACACATACATATGCAAACACAACCACAGAGACAGACAAACACCTCAAAACCCACCCACTCAAGCAAACTAACCAACACAGGTGTGATAATGGCCATATTCTGCATATTCGGGTTTGTGGGCAACATCACGTCCATGTTCTGCCTCTGGAGGGACAAGTCGAAAACCGCCACCCCTCTCCTTCTGATCAACCTGGAGGTGGCGGACACCCTATTTCTCGTAACTGTTCTTCTCATCAGAGTCACGACGACCTTTCATTCTTTCATCTTCCACTCCGACGATCACAACCAGCCGGATTGGTTCTTAGACATCGGCATCTTTATTTTTCCGTCCGCCAGGTTTTTTGAGACATGCGCCGTGTACTCGACGATATTAGTTACGGTTAATCGGTACATCGCCGTTTGTATACCGTTCCGAGCGAATAGTTTGTGCTCGGTCGTGCAGGCTAAGAAACAAATTTTTGTCGTCTGGTGTCTGTGTTTCTTGTACAATTTCCCGCTCTTTTTTGCCTACAGACGAAACAACTACGGCAACGGGTTGAATGAGCAATTTGGAGGCTGGTTCAAAATCTTATACAACAACGTGCTCTACTTCATCATCATGTTCCTCATCCCACTCGCGCTCCTCCTCTTCCTCAACTGCAACCTCGTCGTCGTCCTGAGGAAGACCCACAAGAAGCGGGAGCTGCTGAAACGTCGCGTCACGAAAGTTGTAGCCGCGAGGAACGAGCGTTCGAGTATAACCAGCGCAGCCCGCTCTGAAGATGACATCACGCTCATGCTCATCGTCGTCGTCATCATCTTCATCATCACGCAGACTCCCGCCCTCTTTACACAAATCTTGAAAAACGTGAACGAAGCGAGAGGAGCTGAGGAGGAAGAAGATGACAATTCATTCTGTCCGAACGCGCACTTCTTCTTCGAGAGGATCAGCGACCTGCTGGTGGTCTGCAACTCATCCGTCAACTTCATCATCTACTGCTTCTGCAGTGCTCGCTTCAGAAAAATTTTATTCGGCCTACTGAAGATAAGAACAAAAAACGACGTCGAATCGACTACAGCAGCCGCGCCTGACGCCCTGATGATGACGTCCAACAACAAGAAAGTCAAACATAACTTTGCCAACAGCTCGAAAGTAGCGAACAACAACCACACGAACAAAAACAACAAATTGGACGAGTCCGAAGAGGGCTACATTGACGACAACCAGCTGCTGACCAACACCACCAAACTACCCAACCACAACGACACGCTTGATGTAGTCATTGCCAATGACGTTTAAATTTTTTTGTAAAGAAATACGTTAATTAATACTTTATAGGTTTTTTTTGCGTTGTTGGAGAAAGTTTTGTGGACATTTCATTACACTGATTACATTTTAAAACGTTGATTACATTACGTTAATGACATTTGTTACATTACGTTAATTGAATTTGTTACATTACATTATTTACATTTCTTACATTACGTTAATGACATTTGTTACATTACATTTTTTACATTTGCTACTTAACATTAATTACATTACCTTAACTATATTTGTTACATTACATCAATTACATTTGCTACATTACATTATTTATTTATTTATTTGTTTGTTAATTCATTCATTCATTCGTTCGTTCGTTCGTTCGTTCATTCATTAACTCACTCATTCATTCACTCACTCATTCTATCAACTATCATTAAAGACCTAGGACTCCTCTATATTTCAATATAAAAAAAACGAGTAACATCAACTTAATAAAACAACTATCTTGAACTGAACCAACATAAATATATATATATATATATATATATATATATATATATACGTGTGTGTGCGTGCGTGTGTGTGTGTTTGTATTATACAATCCACACACACGCACACACACGCACGCACACACACGCACAAACACACACACACACGCGCTTAAACTATTTTTTCTTTGACATTTTCACAAAATTGTTACCTTAAGTATTATAAATTACATTCAATAGCATAATCAAATCGTTAAATAATATTTTCATAAATTTTCATAAAACACTTTGAGGATGAAATCACACCATGATTTCCCGCCAAACCATGATTTCCCGCCAAACCATGATTTCCCGCCACGCCATAATTTCCCGCCACGCCACACACCTCTAAAGATTTAGTGCTCTGTATTCTTTACAATTTAATTGTTATATTATTTAAAATTATAAATTAAAAATATAAAATTATTAAATTATATTATTTTTACCTCTTTAGAAATTCTCTGAATTCTCTAAATTAACTCTAGGATTACGATTAAATTAACTCGGTTAGTGTGTTCATGAATATTTATTTTTAACGTTTGTACCAGGTAGTCAGCTCTTGAATATTCATGACATCATATTAATATTAATGAACCTTAACTACTGTATTTATAATTGTGACTCTGCAGTTTTAGAAGTACGGTTTAGCGTCAAGCAATTTGTTAAAAATATCATACGTTTCTCAAGATTTCGATGTTTCAGATCACTGATTGTTTAAATTTAATGTACCAACACGCTCGATTTTATGGCGATCATTTTTTCTCGATTGGAAACATTGATTTTAAATATTTGTTAGACGAATAGTGGATAGATATTCTGGAGAATATTTTTATAAAAAAAATTCATTTTAATTACAGAAAACCATATTTATCAATCTGTTGATCGATTTGATGAATTTTATTTTTTTTTTTTGGTTTGAGGAAATAAATGTATTAAACTAAAAATGATTTATTTGGCGTTGAAAGTAATTTCTCCATAGTAGAAACTTCCTGGCAGGTGTATTTTATAATTCACGGCCTGGAAGAAATATCTCAAGAATGAAAAAGTTTAAAAATGTTTTTTTCATTATTTACTTTTTAAAATAAAAAAGTTGAAAATCAAAAAAAATTCCAGTGAGGTGGGAGTGGAAGAGATAAAAGAGATGAAATTCTTTCAAAGTTACATCGCTACCGTTGGTATAATTCATCTTACCTGCGTGCTCTTTCTCTCTCTCTCTCTCTCTCTCTCTCTTTCTCTCTCTCTCTCTCTCTCTCTCTCTTTATCACTTTTTCTGTCTATCTTTTTTCTCTTTCTTTCTTTTTATTTTTTTTCTCTCTCTCTCTCTCACTTTCTCTTTTTCTCTGCATTTGTTTTTCTTTATAATTTTTTTGTTCTGTTTGTCATTTTTCTCTATATACCTATTTTTGTTTGTGTCATTTTTCTTTCTGTTTTCTTTCCATTTTTCATACTCTCTCTTTCTTTTTCTCTCTCTCTCTCTCTCTCTCTTTCTTTCTCTTGCTCATTTTTTAAGCAAATCATTTCTCAGCTCTGAGGTAGCTTTTCGATATGAAATTCTTGCCCCATGGTCTTGTCTTCGGCGTCAAAAAGTACAATTCTTACAAGCGTACCTATATATTATCTGGACACCTTGTATTTTAATGAAAACAATACTTTATCAACTTATGATAATTAAAGAAATAAAAAAAAACAACTTAATATAATTATAGTCATAATTAAACAATAATTACCCTTAAAAAAATAAGTAGAGAAGCGCCAGTGCTAAAAACGCCGTGAATTTTTAATGAGAACTGCCAAATGGGATGAATGGAGAAAGAAGTTGGAAATGTGTTTATTGACGGCGCGGCTGAAGCTTTCTGCCGTGTGAAATTTTTTTTACAGGAACATTTCGCGGTTTATTTTATGGACAAAAGTTTGAATTATTATTTTTTAAACAGAGGTATGAAACTTGGATAAAAAACACAAATGAAAAGTTTTAATCAGGATAATTATGTTCACATCAAATTAAATCCATTTTCTGGCATGAAATAAAATAGAAAAATTTTAACTTTCAACAGCATAAAAATCAGAAAATCAAGAAGAAAGAAATGTACACTTTTATATGGTTAACAACACAAAAAACTCATTAGTCCTGATCATTCGACTGCAGTCAATCAATTCTCCCATGGTCTTACATTAAACGCACACACACACAAACACACACACATACACACACACACATACAAATACACACACACAAACACACGCACACACATGGCTGCCTACACTACTGATACTAATAACGTCTCTTTTTAGCGCATCACATTTCGGTATGATGATCTTATATTTTCTTCCTTTCTTTCAAATTTGGCTTATTCTATCTATCAAACTTTTTTATTTCTTCTCTCTCTCTCTCTCTCTCTCTCTCTTTCTCGCTCTCTTTTTCTTTTTTTCGCTCTCTTTCTCTTTCTCTCTCGCTTTCTATCTTTTTCGGTCAGAGATAATTTACTGCAAATTAGCGGAACAGCTGTACTGAGTTTATTGGCAGAGAAAAAGATTCAGAAACTTTTTCATTATTATTCGCTTTATTTTCGGTTCATTATTTTTTATTTTTCGTTCTGTTCATTTAATTTTTTAGTATATACTTAACTTATTAGCAAAATAATTCTCTCATTCATTCATTCATTCATTCGTTCGTTCGTTCATTCATTCATTTATTCATTCATTCATTCGTTCGTTCGTTTGTTCGTTCATTCATTCATTCATTCATACATTCATTTATTCATTCATTCATTCATTCATTCATTCGTTCGTTCGTTCGTTCGTACGTTCATTCATTCTTTTAATCCATTCATTTGTCCGATCATCATGACAATCATTTATCCAATTAATCCATCCATCCATCAATTGTTTCTTCCTTCATTCATTCGTTTTTTCGTTTGCCTGTCACAGAATCAATTCGTTAGTTTATTAATTTTTTACGTTGTTTATATCGTTGGTTAGTTTTTTAAATTTGTTGTTGTTGTTTGTTGTTGTTTGTTGTTGTTGTTGTTTGTTGTTGTTGTTGTTGTTTTGTCCTCATTCTACTTTTAGTACGTGATGAACGTCAGCCAGGGCATCAACATTTTTACTATCGTCTCATTACTCTCTCTCTCTCTCTCTCTCTCTCTCTCTCTCTCTCTTTCCTACTTTTTTCTTTTTCATTTTCTTTCACTCTGTTTCTCTCCTTTCTTCGATGCTGTCGTTTTTACACTGGACACTGTCGTTCATTACTTCATTTTTTTTCGTTTATCTAACTTTATATCTCTCTATCTTATTTCCTTTTTCTCCCTCTCTCACTTTCTCTCATTCTCTCTCTTTCTCTCTTTCTTTCCTCTTCTTCCTTTTTCTCACAAAAAATAAAAAAATTTATTCAACATGATACTCAGATAGATAATCAACACCAAATTAAACTCTTTTTTATTCAAAGTTTTGAACAAAAACAAGAAAAAAAAGTTAGGTAAAAAATGAAATCTATTTCTACCAATTTATTTTAAAATAGGCATAAATCGACAAATTATAAAAAAAAACATTTCCTTGACAAAATTTAATTCAGGAGAACCACATACCAAAAAAAATGTTTTAGTTTTTTATGAAAATTTGAAGAAACCTGATTCGTCCATAAAAGGAAAACACGAAAAAACCAAAAAATTTGTTTGCTCGTCTTGCAAACCATGTCTACATTTTGTTAGCATTACGGTTATTTGCGGCGATGTATCGCGAGAGAGAGAGAGAGAGAGAGAGAGAGAGAGAAAGACAGGACAAAAAACAGAAGAAAGAAATTTCTTTAGTAGAAATAAAAAATCGAAAAACGCAGAAAACGAAAGTTTTTTTTATTTGCCAATATTTCTGCCAATTTTGAAAAATTTCATCAACATTTTTTTTTCGTTGGGATTTTTTTTAAATCTTCTCTTCATATTGTTTTATAAGTTTGTACAGAAATGTTACAACTAATCATGGTTGTCTTTCTACATTGATTACGATGACATGAATATTATTCACCGGTTAGCTCAGATAGTAGGAGCACAGCACATATCTTTGTCTATATTCACGAATATAAAAAGAGAAAACACAGGTGTCTGGTTCAAATGATTCATAAACCAAACCCAAAATGCAAAATATTATTATATTGATAAGAGTTCTCCACCATGTAATATCGGTTTTTGTTAAACTGCTGCTTATGAGATTATAAAATATTGAAAGTACATATAACCTTGGGTTGGTTTCATCTTTATCGTATGTCTTCCTTCAGATTTACATGTGAGCAAGCAACATAAAACATAAGCTGGCGTTGAATGTTACTAATATGTCGATTGAATTGAATCTCAGTTTACGTTTCTAATTTTCGACTTCTTTCTTGTTCTTCCGGCTGTCACCTGGTTACTAACTATACCAAACAGTTAATCTCTAACTATGTCATAGTTTCCTTTCTTTCTCTCTGCCTTTCCCATCCTGCCTAGTTTCAGCCAAGCTCTTTTATACAAACTATTTTGAGTTGTGCTGTCTATTAATATGTTGATGATACACAACTTTTCATCTCATTGTATGGCACTTAAATTGAATGTATGGCATACATATATGTATAACTTAAATTAATTAAATATTAAAATGTCATGTATGTACAATGTGTGTCATACGACAATTTGGTCCAACTCAAATCGAACTAAACACTTTTATTCTTATTCAGCAAAACAAGTCAAACTGAAATTTATCATGTCTAAAATGAAATCGTTTTTTGTACTGTACAACCCACCTGCTCACATGATTGAAATATTTTTTTTTAAATGATTGAAATGCTTCGAAAAGAAATCAAAAAACTCAAAAGGTCTCACTGATCATACGTTAGTATGATCATTTCGCGAGTAAACTTTTGTAAGAATTAAGATTGTAAATGTTAGAACTTAGTAATAAAATGTTCGAGAGAAATAAAATCTGCGAATTGAATTCTGCACTTCGGTCTGGTACCTTTTAATGCATTACAAGGCGTTATTTTCATACAAAAATTTATCAATTACTAATTCTACTAATTCATGAATTTTTATACGGGTGTCAACAAAAAATTGTTTTTTTTTCAAGTTGCTCTGTAAAAGTCAGTAGTGGGAATAAATTTTAAAAATGTATGTACTAAAAATTTTTTTTTGTTATTTCGGAGTATTTTTGCGGTTTATATTGCAAAATGAAACAAATTCTGTAAAATTTCATCAAGAAAAAATGTATCAATTTTACGCAACAATTTACAAATAAGTCATTAACCCAAAATTAAATCTCTCAATCCCGTCAGCAGCCAGCGAAAAGATAGTTTGAAATTTTCAACAAAATGACGACGTCCAAAGACCTCAAATCGAAATTAAAACATTCGCCACTGATCCTAAATTTTCCAGTAGCTTCGATGAGTTTGACAATTTTTTTCAAAGCTTTCCGGTCAGTAGTGGTCATCAGACGTTGCTGAATGCGTAGCAGGTGTTGTTCGTTTAGAATTTTTTCATCCAAGGTCTGGTCTCTTTTTTCAGGTTTTATGATTTGTGGCGAATCTTTCAACGGCTTATAACGTAAATTATTTTTTTGTTTGAGATGAGTTGGTTTGTTTGGAGGTAGTTTTTTGCCATGAAATTTGCTGCTGCTGCTGTTGTTGTTGTTAATGATGTTGTTGTTGATGTTGTTGTTGTTGTTATTGTTGTTGTTAATGTTGTTTATGTTGTTACTCTTGTTATTGTTGTTGTTGTTGTTGTTGTTGTTGTTGGTAACTTCTTCATCGTCGTTGTTTATTTCGTATTGTTCTACGTATGGCTTAAACCTGATTCTTGGTTGGTTTCTCTTTTTATTGTTTCGTTGTTGTTGCGTGTGCGTGTTGACTGTGTTGTATGAGTTGATGGTTTTGTTTGTGTGGCTGTTGTCGCTATTGTCGCGGCGGTAGTTGCCGTTGTAGTTGCTGCAGTCGCGCTCCATTTTTAACGGTGTTGATGTCATTGTAGGGTTGCCAAAAAAATGTTTCATAAACGACGACATGTCAAGAGACGTGCTGTGGCTTGCTGTGGCTTCTGTAGCTGCCATAGTTGTCGTTGCTGTGGATAGTGAAGCTATTAGTGTTGTAGTGGCCGTTACTAATGTAGTCGCTTCTGTCACGACTGTCGTTGATGATTTTGTTTCTGTCGCACTTGTCGCTAATACAGTTGATGTTGTAAAAGTTGTTGGAGTCAATTCTGTCAGTTGTGTTGGAGTTGTTGTGGCTTGTGTTGTTTTTGTTGTTGTCAATGATGTCATTGGCATGTATGGCGTTGTTGTCGTTGCTGTAGAAGTAACTGTTGCGATTGGTGCTAAACAAGGTTTGTTCATTAAAAAATCTCCGCAAGAGGGCATCCTATCTTCAGCGCGTGGCGTCTTGATTGATTGTTTAATTCCATTTCCCTTGTAGATATCTCTGACGTCATCATCGTCGTCGTCGTTCACGTAAATAACCCTTGACCGCTTTATTGATGCTTTAGGTTCAAAGTTCGCGTCAAAGCGACAGCATGACGTCATTTCCGGATTATTTTTTTCGTACGGCGTCTGGCGTTTTGGCGGTTTCGTTTTCGTTTTTAGCATTGAAGTGATGCGGCGGGTTGTTGGTTGGTGGTGGGGGTGGGTTTTTTTGGGCCGGCCTGGTTTTCTTTTGGCGATCACGTGCTCACGTGAAATGTTATTGCTGATGATGATGTTGTTGTTGTGGTTATTGTTGTTATTTTTATTAATAATGTTGTTGTTGTTGTTTATGTTGTTGATGATAATGATGTCGTCGTTGTTGCTGCTGTTATGATTGTTGGCGTTGTTAGTATTGACTTGATTGTTGTTGTTGTTGTTGTTGTTGTTAGTGTTAGCGTCATCGTCATCATTAACGTAGATACAAAACTTATTATGATTGGCCGACTGGTATGACGTCACCTTCCAATCGACGATATTACAAGTCGGGCTCAATTTAGAAATGACATCATCTTCCTGTAGCAGCACTATACCGGACTTCGCGGGTGAATCCACATTCCCCGCCACGGACGAGAACAACTTTTTACAAAAATACTCCGAAGGATTTTGGAAGATAATCTTCTCGCATCTGATGTTGGAGATGGCCGGCGTGACGCCCAAGTAGAGGTAATAGTAGAGAGTGAGTTTCTTGCTGACTCCGTTGTAGTCGAAGAAAATATCTACGGGCATGTTGAAGCCACCGTACCCTGACTCGATTACCTGGTAAGGTGGTCTCTGTAGGACTGGAAGTTTTTTTTTGAGGAATGTATTGGTGTTATTTGTTTTGTTCCGTCAGTCGTTCATTCGATCGTTCATTCGTTTGTTTGTTTTTTCGTTATTCATTCATTCTTTCATTCATTTATTCATTCATTCATTCATTTATTCATTCATTCATTCATTCATTCATTCATTCATTCATTCATTCATTCATTCATTTGTTCATTTATTCATTCATTCATTCATTCATTCAATCATTCATTCATTTATTCATTCATTCATTCACCTATTCGTTTATTCATTCATCGATTTGTCTATTCATTTGTTATCTACAATCAATCAACTAACAAGTTAATCAGACAATCAATCAAAAACCGGAAGTCAATTACTTGAAAAATTCTTGTTACACACACACGCCACACACACACACAAACCTCACCTCGTTTAGGATATTTAAAAGTTGGATGCAGGTTAAATCTTATCTTCTGTATGAAATTTTCAACCTTCACTTTGTCATCACCCCTTAGAAAAATTATCCAATCATGGGTCAGCCCTTCTGGTGTTGGGGTCTGCCTTAGGGCCGCTTTGTGTCCGATATACAGGTTTATGCTTACGATCTAAGTGATGAATTCATTGTAATGTTTAATGTAATCTTACAGTACACTACAGTAATGTAACGTAATGTACAATTAAACACATACATACATACATTCAGTCAGCAATGTATACACATACTTACAATCTAAATAGTGTAACGGTTTGTAACTTAATTGTAATATGTATATATGTGTAATATATATATATATATATATATATAATATATAATATATATAATAATATGTATTTTGATGTAATTTGTGTGTGAAATTTAATTACTTTTAATTAATTGACAAATAATTTTAACAGAATAAGTTTGCGGCAGAAAATGAAAATTTCTCAAAATGACTTAACTGACTTTGTTGCCAAATTGCTTAAACCTGTCACACAGTATTAGGTGCTGGTTAACGTCCATATTTTAAAGATAATTAAAATTAATTAATCAATTAAATTAATTAGTTTGTTTTATTTATTTCTAAATTTATATAACTATTAAGATATTAAACTTATTATTTTAATGATAAATTGTACAAAAAAGTTTAAGCAATCTGATCCTTTTAATTGTAGCCAATTAATTGTATCTTTTTTCATGAAATATACAATAATATTTTTATTCACTTAGAAATTTAAATGTTAATTCAAAAAATGGTACACTGTTGTATGTCGGCCTTTGTCCGATCAATCAGAGCCAAGAGTTATAAGAGTATCATTCTTCAATCATTTAATTTTAACACAACAAGTTATTCACACGTACCTATATATCTGTGATCTCTGTGTATGTGTGTGTTTGTGTGTTTATATATATATATATATATATATATACATATCGGCTAAACATCAATCAATCACTTTTCATTATCATCATCATCATCATCACCATCACAGACATCATCAGTCATTATTATCATAACCACAAATCATCATTATCATAACGACGGACTGTCTACGTCATAGACGTAACTGTCCAATCACGCTCGATTCGAGACATTATAAGGTCGTCATCATTATCGTTATCGTAACGGCAAGATCATCATTATCATAACCTCGAGATCATCATCATCATAACCTCGAGATCATCATCATCATAACCGCAGGATCATCATTATCATAACCGCAGGATCATCATTATCATCCTCGGATGGTCACGTCATCAGCTTAACTGTCCAATCAGGTTCGAGAACGTCCTAATGGTTAACACGTTTGGTCTCATTATTACATTTCTTTTGAAGTCTTGAAGTTGATAATTATCACACCTAATTATACCGCTGCTGCTGTTGTTGTTGTTGCCTTTTTTGTTGTTGCTTTTGTTGTTGTTGTTGTTGTTCTTTAGCGTACGACATTACAACGGACTTTTGTACGTGTGTGTGTGTGTGTTGTGTGTGTGTGTTTTTTTGCATTTATGTATGTGTGTGTGTGCATGTACATTCATGTATGTATGTGTGTATATGTATTTATGTATGTGTGTATGTGTATGTATATTCATGTATGTATGTGTATTTTCATGTATGTGTGTATATATATTCATGTATGTGTGTGTATGTGAGTTTTATGTATGTGTTTGTGTGTATGTATATTCATGTATGTATGTGTATATGTATATTCATGTATGTGTGTATGTTTTTCATTTATGTGTGTATGTGTATATTCATGTATGTGTGTGTATGTGGGTTTCTGTATGTGTATGTGTGTATTTATGTCCAGAAATCAAACCATGCTTACACAGACGTATTGAACTAGAACTGATGCAATGTTAAAACATTTAAATGCGTTTAATGTGATCGTTTTATTGGAGCCTAACTAGCTCTTTTGTTCTCTTTCTTTTTTATTCATTCCTCCACTCGATCACTCCATTCATTCATTCAATCAATCAATCATTTATTCATTTTTTTTACTCATTCTTTCGTTCTGTACTTCATAAAACAATTTCCAATTTTAATAAAATGAGAATCGTTTAATGGAAGTTTCCATAAACTGTACATTAATTTTACCCGAATACCATAATTTACACACACACACACACGCACGCACATGCACACACACACATACACACACACATACTTATAGATACATACATCCACAGACATTCTACTGTTAATGATATAACATTTACATTACAATCGTCAAATCATCAATATTCAAATAGCTGGTCTTTACACTGTTTGTTGGAGAAATTTGAATAATGTAAAGCGGATTATCTGAGATTTTATAAAATTAATCAAATTATATAAAGAAGAAAATCGGAAAATTTGTAACGTTTTATATGTTTTTATTCAGCTTTTTTCAAATATTTCTTTAGTTTAATAGAAAAAAAACTCTTTGAAAAATAAGCCGTGCGTATGTGTTTACGTGCGTATGTGTTTGTGTGTGTGTGTTTTTTCGTGTGTTTGCGTGTGTGTCTCTTTATTGAAATTGTAACGTATTTTTAAAAAATAAAATTATACAAACAAAAAAGCCTGACTTTTTTTCAAACTAAATTTCGTTTAAGTTTTCAAATTAAACTGGAGATCTCAATGGAGGTAGAAATGGAAAATGCACTGCGTGTCAATTCTATTATTATTTTCACATTACACATAATATATTACAAGCATGTTCACAAAATACAAAAATTAATTTCATAATTAATTTAAGTATATTTATTAGTGAATCAGTTAATTAACTCGGATTAAGTCTATTTACATAATTTAAAATTGCTTCTCAGTGAATTAGAGTTAATTAACCCAATCGGTTATTTCATTCATTTAATTTATTTAACATTTAATCTGAAATCAGTTTGACAAAAGAGAATCAACAGTAAGTGATTTCTGTGGAGTGTTGTTCATCTCCGGAAACATCTCCACCTCTCGTCTCCCCTACCCCCCCATCTCCAATTTTATGCTCCCCTCCAAACGAACTCCTAGCTACGTTCGGTTTCGAACGCTGATTAGAACCAGTATAACTTTTTGGCAAATTTTTCCCTCTCGCTTTTGGTTTTTTGTGAGTTGTCGTCTGTTTCGCTAGCAAACCGTTTGCGACGGCCTTCAAAAATTTCGGAGACATCTCGTGCAGTCGAACCGGAGGAGCGCTAAAGCTGTTCAGAAAGTTGAGGTCTTCAGTTTCGTCGTCCAAGCTCCCCATTTGTTTTCTGGCCTTGTGTTCCGCTGCACTGCACTCCAACATCGTAATCGGTGTTGTTTCGTGAAATTTCGAATAGTCAATGACGCAATCACCTTTGAAGGTTTCCACAGTTATGAGGGGCGTCAGTTTCTGACCCCAGCAGATTTCAGAGGAGAGGTAGGAGGTTCTAACTTGGATGAGAGCCCCGTTAGTTGGGACGGTACCTTCCAAGATGATTACCACCTCAAAGGGATTCAACAAAACATCCTCTGCCGACATCTTCCAGAAGGGACTGCTTTCATTAATTTTGTGAGAAATCGTCACAGGCCACATAAAAAATAAGAAACTATCTTGCTTACTCGTCTCCGTTTCAATCTCCAAAGGAAACTGACACAGAGGAATAATCCCATTTTCCTCCGTTTTCTTCTGCCTAACCAAAATTGCTCTGATGGAGGTCCCGATGATGTGGGCTTTTCTCATGTCACCCACCCTGAACTGCAAGCTGTAGCCCCCGTCCAACTTGCAGATGACTGCGTTCTTACTGAACATAATTGTCTGAAATGTTGCACGGTATCTTAAAAGACTTTAAAAATAATATTTAATATGTCTTATAAAGTTATTTCAGAAAAAACATTTCACAACTGGAACAATTAAAACTTGAAACTACAATTCACAATTTTTTTAAAAAAAATTATTTAACTACTTGTGAACGGCGTTTAGGCCTGGAAATCTTCCCGAAAAAGATGCCAGTAGTGAAGCAAGTGATGAAGATGCCGAAGCAGCTCTGCAGCATGATGAGGAAGGCCCCGAAACCGCAGTTGGAGTTGATGTAACGGTAACCATATCCAATGGTGGCCTGAGTCTCGATGGAGAACATAAAAGCTGACGGGAAATCCCGCACGTTTATAACGCACAGGTCAGTCTTCTTCGGATCAAGGTCATTATTAATCCAGGCAACCAAGTACCAAGCAAATCCAAACAGCACCCATGAGAGTACAAAACTGACAAAAAAGAACAGAACATGGTACCGCCACTTCAACTCCATGATCGTCGTCATGAAATCAATTATAAATTTCCTTCTACGCTTGGTCACATTCACCAAGGTTATGTTCGACTCACCTGATTTCTCAACCAGACGTGTTGTATTCTGCTTATAAGCCATCAACCTTCCTCTCTCAGCCATCGGTACTGAAACATTTTTGCTTAAATTGGCGGGAAGTAACTTAGTTGTTGATTTTTCGTTTAGTTCCATTGTTAGCTTTGTAAGCTTTTCTTTATCAAAATCAGTCGCTTGGCTGATAACATTTGATGACGTTTGAATATGAACGCCGGGAGAATCATTCAAAATTGTCGAATCAGTAATAAAATTTTTAGAATTGTCAGTTAAATCTATGGTAGTGTAATTTTTAGCGTTAGAATTTGAATCATCGTCGATGTTTTTGTCTATAGGTTGGTTGTCTCTGGTGGTCGGTTGACTGGTATCAAAAGATACCACGGTCACATCGTTTAAGCTGGGAGATGAATTAGACCTTACCGATGTCGTTTCGAGAATTTTCATTTTAAACTTTAAGTTTTATGTTGAAAAAAATTTTTTTTATCAGATTTATTTTATTTTACCTGTTATATATCTGCTTATATATCTTCTGATCGCGTAAGCGTCTGTGATTTAGTACGTAATTATGTACATATTATATGTAATATTCTAGTATTACCACTCAGTATCTCTAGTATTATTAGTTATTTATTACTATCATTAGCAGTTCTGGAAAATTATCACGATACTGTTGTCACGAGATTTTGTTTGAAAGATATGGTAGGTTGGTCTGTTTTAATTTCTTCGAATTTTCAATAAATTACATAATTAGGTTTTTTTGGAGATTTATGATGCATGTGTGTGTGTGTGTGTGTGTGTTTGTGTCTCTGTGTGTCTGTGTGCGTGTCTGTGTATGTGTGTTTGTGCGTCTGTGTGTGTGTGAGTTTGTTGTGTTGTTTAGTATCAAAATAATCCTAATAAAAACCCTTTATTATCATCAATCACCATCATCACAATCTTCATTATCTTATGACGCTAAAAACAACAATAATAGTAATATTAAATAATAATAATAAATAATAATAATAATAAAGAATAATAATAATAATAATAAATAATTATAACACGTTAGCCGAGGAACAATTGAAAAATGCAAATACTATAATAATAAAATAATTTCAATCCCCACGATCTGTCAATCAAATTAATTCGGGTAGCCACTTTGTATGCAAGCATGCAATAGCGAAATTAATAACCACTACTATCATCATTTTCATCATCGTCATCATCATCATCATCTTGTCGTCATCATTATCATCATCGTCGTCGTCGTAAATTGCTCGGAGTCGTTAATCAGGCTTGGATTTACTCGAGACAGCTACGATATTATTATTATTATTGTTGTTGTTGTTGATATTGTAATCGTTGTTGTTTCTGTTTTTTTTTTGTTGTTTCTATCATTATTATTATATTATTATTATTGTTGTTGTTGTTGTTGTTACTATCTATGCCCAAAGGTTAGAGGTCAAAATAGGTTAACTGTATAGGAGTCAGGTTCTGCTGGCTCGCCTCTGCAATCATTACACTAAGAGGAAAGAAGACAGGTGTAATAATAATAATAATAATAATAATAATAATAATAATAATAATAATAATAATAAAACAAACAAACAGACAGACAGACAGACAGACAGACAAACAAACAAACAAAGACAGGAGAAATAGCGAAACAATAACACTACAAAAACGCATGAAGACGAGATGAGCAGTGTCGATTGTTTTGAAATATTCTGGACACCGAAAAATGTATTTCCATTTGACGTCATAGGTTCAACCTTAATACACACACATTATTATTATTATTATTATTACTATTATTATTATCATAATTATTAATATTATTATTATTATCACAATTATTATTATTATTCACATGATCACATAAGCCATTGCTGACGTAAAAAGGTACAACAAGGCACTCCATTCCTCTAACAGATACAAGAATCTATTGCGTGTCTAATTTGACATGCGTGCTTAGAAACACACACACACATACACACACAAACAAACAAACATTCACACACACACAAAAATATAATATACACACGCGCACACACGCAGACTAACACACACATACCTGCACACATAATTGCCACACAAACAGAGTTTTTCCCTCATTCCATGGTAAACAACAGAATAAAAATTTTGCCGATACATGCTTAGCAACGTCCTTACAAACACAATGACGATTTTGTATGTATGTAATGTATGTATGTATGTATGTATATATGTATGTATGTATGTATGTATGTATGTATGTATGTATGTATGTATGTATGTATGTATGTATGTATGTATGTATGTATGTATGTATGTATGTATGTATGTATGTATGTATGTATGTATGTATGTATGTATGTATGTATGTATGTATGTATGTATGTATGTATGTATGTATGTATGTATGTATGTATGTATGTATGTATGTATGTATGTATGTATGTATGTATGTATGTTAAAACCAAAACATGATGAGTGACACTGAACCGTCAAACATCAAGTAACAAATGGATTAACACTTTGATTTGTCGTTAATTGCACATGTCGGCATTCAGCTGGATATTTTCAAGCACACAGACACGCAGGAACCGCTGCAACAAGCACGAAATGTGGTTAGTTGCTAAAAACAGTTCCCTGCTGTCGCCTGATCTGACGCTGATCATTTTGCATATTTCCTTAAGAAATTTAAGGGTGTTGGGGTCCATCGGGCCAAGAACCTCGATGCATATTGGCAAGAATTCCATCGAGGGGAAGGCGTTCCCATATTTTTTCATTTTCTCGTCCGCTGCCCTGGCCGCGGCCAAACCGCATTCTTTACTTGTCAGGTTTACGTATCGTTCGGCGAGGGTGCCAGGGACCGTAACATCCCACGCCAAACATCTGCCGGCTCTCCAAGGTATTAGTGTGCATCCATCCGGGCGCCTACCATCATGCACAGAAATGCCGGATGGTTCCTTGAGAACCGGGATTGAAGCCTTGGAGAAGAGCCGACAAATGTATGTATGTATGTATGGATGAATGCTGTCAAGTTACCAATCGAAATACTATTATAAAAACAATAGAAAACAAACCTTGGGTCTCTTCTGAGTTAAAAAATCTCATCACAAAAAGAAATAAAAGTTACAAAAAGTTTCTTTTGATTCCTAATAATAATAATTTAAATAAATTCAAAAGCCTTAAAATAACTTGTAATAAACTAAATAAATCTTTAAAAAAAAATTATTATCATCATTTTTTTGAAAAATATAGAGGAGATAGCAAAAAAACGTGGACTGCTCTGAACGAGTTAAAAAACGGAAAAGACATAAAACCCGATAGTATACAAAAATTAACAAATGAAGAAATTGAAATACCTGACCCAGCAAATGCTTTAAATAACTATTTTGTTCAATTAGCACCGAATTTACTGAAGCTCATTCCACGGAATTCTCACTGGAAGAATTACTTCAAGACATTTGTTTCCAACTCGTTTTTTTGTAGATACGCAACGGCTGATGAGATCATTGCAACAACAAAATCTTTGAAACAAAAAACATCAAGTGGCTACGATGACATACCAACAAAAATTGTCGTCTCTACATTCTACTGTGTTTGTTCTAGAATATTTGATAAATCTATATTTTGAATAGGGCAAATTTCCAAGCTGTCTCAAAATCGCCAAGGTAATTCCTATTGAAAAAATTAAAGGAAAAACAGATTTATCAAATTTTCGCCCTATGTCACTCTTGCCAGCATTTTCAAAAATACTTGAAAAACTAATGCACCGACGAATGACTAGTTTTTTTGCAAAAGATCTGTCGAAAGCATTTGATTGCATCAACCACGACATCATGCTCAACAAGTTGGAAAAGTACGGTTTTAGAAATACATCACTGCATTGGTTTCGTAGCTACTTAACAGAAAAAAAACAGTTTGTCTATGTGAACGATGAAATTTCCATTCTGCTCGGAAACAACAACGGTGTGCCTCAAGGAAGCATCCTAGGTCCTTTGTTATTTATATTGTACATAAACGATCTTCCAGCTGCATCAGCATTTTTTGACTACGTAATTTATGCTGATGACACGAATGTTTTTAGCAGCGGCAGATCAATGAAAGAACTTACTGAGGAAACAAACAGAGAGTTAAAAAACATAATCTCTTGGTTCGAAGCCAATAAACTTTCAATTAACAGTTCAAAAAGCCAAATGATGGTTTTTGGACCCGTACAATATCTAAATTACAAGGAGCCGTATAAAATCATCCTAGGTAACAACACAATTGTTGAAACAAAGTGTTTAAAACTTCTAGGCATGCTGCTCGATCAGAAACTCTCCTTCAAACATCACATAAAACAAGTATCATCCAAACTTTCAAAGTCAATAAGAATGATAAACAGAGTAAAATCAATTTTGCCAAAAAACTGTTTGAATCTTCTGTATAATTCCCTGTGCATTCCGTTAATAAACTACTGCAACATTGTATGGGCTTCATCGTACCACACATCAACCTTACCAATAGAAATATTAATCAAAAGAGCAGTTAGATTGATAACGAGATCCAAACGATTTGAACACAGCCAACCATTGTTCAACAGCACGCGAAACTTGAATTTCTCGAAACTCAGCATTTACTTTCTGATGATTTTTGTTTATAAACAGTTAACCAATCGATTACCTGATTTATTTAACAGTTATTTCAAGATGAAACAACAATGTCGGCAACAAAATAATCTTGTCTCTAACAAATCGAAAACGAATATTTTGTTCTCTCACGTGTATTGCAAGGGACCGAGAATCTGGAACGAAATTTTAAACAGTGGATTTAATTTTGAATTTATTTCGTTAAACAATTTAAAAAAAAAGTTAAAAGAATATTTACTTAAGTTTAAAACATAAATTTTTTGTTTTTGAAATTACGTTTAAATTCTGTTGAAAACTTGTAACATTTTAAAAATTATGTCAAGGTGGTCACACTCGATGAGTTTCTGAAAAGAACTCTACTGTGGTCATCCTGTCTTCTTCCTATTGATATAAAGGGGAGAGAATTCTTTTTTTCTCTTTTTTTAGATTAATTTTGAGAAGCAAATAAAAATTCGTTTCGTTTCGTTTCGTATTTATGTATGTATGTATGTATGTATGTATGTATATATGTATGTATGTATGTATGTATGTATGTATGTATGTATGTATGTATGTATGTATGTATGTATGTATGTATGTATGAATATATGTATGTATGTATGTGTCAGTATAGTTCCCAAATAAAGGCTGATTGGTAGTGTGTAGTGAGAAGTAATTTGTTTCAAGAGAACTGCCATTTAGATGAGAGAGTTCAACACATTAAAATATTTTATTATTTGCACATAAATAAGCTATAATAGTATTTATAATAATAAATATAACTAATTATTGAATAAATATTTAAAATAAAATATACATACTTATTTAATATTGTATAAATATTATATTATATTTATTTAATATTATATAAATTATGGTCAACTTTTCTTCTAACAGCTTTACCTCTTCATTGACAGATACATATCACAGATAGTCGATAGATACATAGATAGTCAATAGATGCATAGATAGTTGATAGATAGTCAAAAGATACATAGATAGTTAATAGATATATAGATAGTCGATAGATACATAGATAGTTGATAGATACATAGATATTCGATAGATAGTCAATAGATACATAGATAGTTGATAGATAGTCGAGATACACATAGGTAAAAAAAAAGAGACTAAATAAACATGGGTAGTTCCTCCAGCGCTAATAAGCCCCGCCTACCTCAAACCCCACTTCACCCCAACAACAACAACAATAATAATAACACTAACAATAATAATAATAATAACAACAACAATAATAATGACGTGCCATCAACACAACGACTATCTTTATCAAACTCAAGCCAAGCTAGAGATAGGAATCATCGGTCAAATACTCCCAGAAACAACAACAACAACAATAATAATAACAGTAATAATAATAATAATAATAGTCATAATAACAACCTTGATGCCGATAGGTCTACAGTCGTTGGAAAATTGCAGAGAGAGAAAACAGTTGCGTTTGAAGTGCCCAAATACCCGGTACACACACACACATACACACACACATACATAATACATACACACACACATACATAATATATACACATACACACACACACACACACACACACTCGTACAACGATGTTTTGTGTATCAGTACCAGATACACACACACACATACATAATACATATACACACACACACATACATAATATATACACATACACACACACTCGTACAACGATGTTTTGTGTATCAGTACCACATATACAAAATTCAAGTTATTTATTTAATTTGCGAATTAAATCAGCCAGATCTGTTACCATATGTATTTTAATTTATTGTTTAATGTAAGTTTAAACGCGGAGGTTTATTTTGACGTAGCCAAAAATCTTTTGCAAGACAGTTTGTTTCCAAGTGGCTAAAGTGTCTGGCACTAATGTTACAGTGCCGGATTCAAGTGCAAAGAAATCCAACTGATTTACATTGCGTGTTGTTGGTTCCTTTGGCAAATATTTGAGAGAGAACTTCAAAAAAAATGTAAATTTATAATTTAAATAATATTATAAATATTCGATATAATTAATATATTAAATTATCGTTTTCCCGCCAAAACCAGGATACAGACGAAATCATGTGGGAGACGTTTTACCATCAGAATGGCGAGGTTTGCAGCTGCATGTACCAATCTGGTGAAAGATTTATACTGGATTCAAAGACACAGGTTGGTCATTATTATTATTATTATTATTATTATTATTATTGTTATTGTTATTATTATTATTGTTATTGTTATTATTATTACTGTTAAATAAAAATAATTAAACAGATAAATTTTTTTTTTTTTTATTAGAATAAATATCCGTTTCCGAGCAAGCTGTATAGCGAAGGGCTACTGGTAACTGAAGATTCAAAACCCAAGGTACTACTACTGCAACTACTGCCACTACTACTACTACAACAACTACTACTACTACAACTACTAATTTTACTACTGTTAACACTACAACTACGAATACCACTAACTACTACCACTTCTACTACTACTACTTTTACAACTACTAATACTACTACTACTACTACTACTGCTGCTGCTGCTGCCACTACTACCACGACTACTACTACTACTACTACTACTACTACTATTACTACTAATACTACTAACGCTAATAATGACGTCATCAGACCGGAAATGAATCAGGAATGGGTGGAATGAATGAAGATGATAGGTCGGGTACGTTTATTCATCCAACGAAAGGAAAATTTCAAACGTATATATTTGAGGTTAGTTGTCTATGTTTTGTTGTCAGTGTTTTTGTTGTTGATGATGTCTTGTTTTCATCGTTTATATTGTTTATATTCTGTCAATTTATTATCTTTGTTTTGTGGTTTATGGTTTTTGCTGTCTATGCTAATTTTTGTTTAGTTCGTTTTGTTGTTTAATTGCTCGCCCATTGTCGTTTATGATTTAGTGTAGTATCTTTGTGTATTGTTGTTTATGTTGTTGTTTATGTTTATATCTTTTTCCAACCCGACAGGAAAAAATAAATGTGCACAGATACTACGATTCATCCAGTGGAACGTGGGTTAAGATGCCAATGTCCTGGGAATTGAGGTCAGAGGTCATCAAGTCTCTAATGCAACCGATACAGGTTAACATGATTTAAGGATTGACGTGTTTTTGCTAATTTCTTCTTCTGTCTGTCTGTCTGTTTAATCTTTTTTCTCTGTGGGTATGTAATCAAATTCAAAATTAATGTCTGTATATTTGTGTGGTTTTTCTGTGAGTATGTCTGACTTTGGTCGTTTGTCTGTCAGTGTGTGTGTGTGTATCTTTCTTAGTTCGTTCGTTTGTTCGTTCGTTCGTTTTTTCATTTCATTGATCGATCTTTCGTTCACTGGTTCGTCGGTTTGTTTGTTCGTTCGTTCGTTTGTCCGATCGTTGTCAAACAGCACAAATTTGTAAAAAGAATAATAATAGAATGAGGATGGAGAGCTTCTTTTTTACCCTGATGTTGTATCGGGAAGCATGTAAATGATATAGCCTTCTAAAATTGCCATTGCTGTTTTATTAAAACTTATAAAGAGAAATATAGTTGTTATATGTTTGCATACTCAAGTTTATGAATTTTAAGTTGTGAATGTATCTGAGTTTGTGATAAGTTCATCCCACACATAGTCAAAAAAAACCATACCTAAGTTATTGATGATTTAGAAGGAAAGATAGAAAAGAGGCAGTGTAAATTGTGCTGTAAAATATTTTTTCAGTCTTGTGAGTTAGGATGCAGTCCTTCATATACAATGAATAATCATGGAAAATAATTATAAACATATATATGTATGTGCGTGTGTGCGTGCGTGTGAGTGCGTGTGTGTGTACGTGTGTGTGTGTATGTCTGTTTTTGTGTGTACTTTATTTGATATACTGATAAAAATGGCAATTATCGTAGTAATAATAATAATAGCATAAATAATAATTAGAATGATATAATTAAAAATTATTTCATAATTTCATAATAATAATTAGAAATAATTTCATAATTTCCAGGAAGCTCTGCCGGATTGGGACGACAAATATGATATCCTGTCATCTCTGAGAGTTCATAGCTACGATCCGCAACAATGCATCGCCACATTTTTCCTTTGGGGAGATATGGGTGGGTGATAATTTAATTTTTAATAATAATTTTTAATTTTTTGATAATTTTTATAACTATATTCAATAATTACATTAAATTATAAATAATTATTATAATGAATGAATGATGAATGGATGGATTGATGAATGGATGAATGGATGAATGAATGAATGGATGAATGGATGGGTGAATAAATTGATAGATATAATAATAATAAGGATTCTGGTACGTCCCACACGGATCCAATTCCTCTTCGGATATCATTGAAGAAAAGGACGAACTCATCGTGAAACTGAAAGAAAAACTCAAAGAACTGGTACACAGTCAAGCAAAATTAACTTCTACTAATCTTGTTACTGCTCTTATTATTATTATTATTATTATTATTATTATAAAACTATATAGAAAAATAAAAACAACAACAAATCACAATAAAATACAAAACATCCATATTTTTCTTCATTCGTAGAATGACACAGTTAACAAGCAGGCTGAAGCCCTAAAAGAGGAAAAGTTATCAAGGGAAAAGAGCGAACATGAGGTTGTCACAAGAAATAATCATTTGTTATTATTAACAGAAGTTAATTAAAATGTTAAGGTAATTTTGCTAAGGCCAAGATGAAATAGAACAAATTATGTGTATAAATTTCGACCGGAGAGTATTTTAGTGGCCAAACTCAGTCGAAATTCGACTAATTATTGTTTAAAAATCTTGGGTTTAATGAGGAAATTTACAAGAAATGTGAGATAAAAATGGAAAAATTTGTGATTACTTATTCGTATGATCTTTTAAAATATTATAATACGAGCTAATTATGTTAATATAACTCAAAACTTATGCTTCAATTAAGAATACAATCTATATCTATCGATGATAACACGAATAATAATAATGATTATTATTAGTATTATTAAATAATAACAATAATAAAACCATGTATAAATAAATAAATTGAAGCTGGAAAAACTGAAAGAGCAGTTAGCTAGTTATGACGCAGAGCAATCGTCGCTACAAGCCAAATGTCAGGCACTAACAAAAAATAGACCTAAAACAGCTGCCATGAAAAAGGTTGAAATTATGAAATATAATTTATTATAATTTATCGTTACATCTAGTTATAATTAACATATAATTAATTTTATTATTACATTAATTACTCGATTTTATTGTTATTAAACTGCCCGCATGTGGTCTGTCTAAAATCTACACGAATGGATATTTTTACGATGTTTTTGGCAAACTGGGAGAATTTTATATGATAATTTTAAAAGATAGCGCTATATAAATTGTAGATACACTGTAATATAACGCTATATAAATAATAGATATATCTAATAAAAACTGTTCTTTCTTGGCAGGGCATATTCGAAGTAGAGAAGAAATCTATCCAAGCCATAAACTCGTTGATTAAAAATCTGCACAAGGACCACAATCAACTCAATAAAGAATACAATCTGTCTCTTTCATCTTGGGCTGGTTCGCTTAACTATGTACGTATGTCTGTACGTGTGTGTGTGTGAGAGAGAGTGCGTGTGTGTGCGTGTGGAAATTTGTGTGTGTGTGTGCGTGCCGTAAAAAACACCATTTGCTCTTTCATCATGGAATGTTTCTGTTAACGACGTATCCGTGTGCAAGCATGTATGCATAAATGTACACATGTCAAAGTTTGTCTCCGTTACAATTTTAATTTTAGCCTGCTGAATATTAATTTTCTTTGTAAATTCGGATGCGAGTGCGTGTGTGTGTGTGTGTGTGTGTGTGTGTGTGTTCGGAGTGCATGTATATATATATATATATATATTTAGACAATTTTTTTTAAATTAAATTTTTAAAAAAGATAATGCAAGGCGTGAAAAAGATATATGCGTGTGATTTAAACCTCGGTGAGGAAGTTGAGGAGTTGAAAAGTTTGTATACACGAGAGGCACTGCAAAGAAAACTTTTGTACAATGAGGTTTGTATGTGTGCGTGTGTTTGTATGTGTGTGTGTGTGCGTGTGTGTGTGTGTGTGTCTTCATCTTGATCTCAGCAGTTGCATAAAGTTTAAAAACAATTATTTACGGATCAAATATTTATTGAACATCCTATCGTACACAAAAACTAGATTGTATCAACTGCATAATCTCCAAGCCATATATAAATCATCTTCACTTTTTACACATTACGTCACACTGGACGACACTGAATCAGCTACAAGAGCTTCGCGGAAACATCCGAGTCTTCCTCAGATGTCGCTACGACAGCCGCAGTCAGTGCTGCCTCAAATTTCTGGGCGATAATGAAGTTTTGGCGCCAAACAGCAAGAAGCCATTCACGTTCGATAAGGTTTTTTCTCCAAAGTCTTCTCAGGAAGAGGTGGGTTTTTATGTATCATTTATATGGGGTTATACTTTTTAATTTATGCCAAGAGTGCTACATGAATGTTACATCTTTGCCGTTGTAACTCATTTGGCGTTCCATTCATTATGTATTAATTAATAATTATTAATAGTTTTTAAGTTAGATGGAATATAAATGTTTTCACAAACATACAGCTTATGTGCGTATAACAAGCGTTGGATACCTTTGCATTCGATCCTGGTTACTGCTACATAGGAGACGGACACTTTACAGCTTCGCCACGTTAAAAATAAAAGCAGATACTTAATCAACGAATCGAAAATATTTATATAGCGCACATTTCTACAGTTCAATAACTATCATTTCCAAAAAATCTGAAGGTGTACGAAGATGCAAGAGCAGTAATAATGTCTTGTGTGGACGGATACAACGTGTGCATATTAGCGTACGGTCAGACAGGCTCTGGGAAGACGTTCACCATGCAGGGTCCAGCTAATGACCCCGGTGTTAATGTCAGGTACTGCCTAATTAACCTGCTATGGCATGGCCTGTTTAATAATTTAATTAAATTAGTTGGCTAGTCTTTGAAAACATTTTCAATTGTTTATTTTTTCCACAATTTTCTTCTAATTAATCTTCAGAGGATCAGCAACACACAAACACAAACAAACACATGTGAATACAAGTGAATCCGCGCGTCGCACACATTTTATGCATTCAAACCAGGTCACTGCAACAGCAGCACCATACACCTTAACCACTACGTCATCGATACGCCCAGTTATTTAATATTCGTAATGATATGGAATACTTGTAGTATAGAAATATAAAATATTTGTAAAGATCTCTTAAGGAGCTGTTGAACGTGTGCGAACAAAGGGAAAATGTCACGTACAATCTAAAAGTTAGGTTTTTTATTTGAAAATTATGTCTTAACCTTTAAGAGTTGTATTGAAAATATCTTTTAAAACCCACTTTCTCAATATTCAATACGTACTTTATATTATTTCAAATCGCAAATTGAATACTGGAAATAAATAAACATCTTGAATCATCATACTAACTACAAACTAATAGAAAAAATTTCTTCAAAAAAACATACAAAAAAACAAAATGGCGGCAAAAAACAAAATGGCCTCAAAAAACAAAATGGCGACTAAAAAAACCCAGGCGTCCATGATAGAAATCTACAACGAAACCGTCCACGACCTTCTCAGTGACACCGTGAACCCCCTGGAGGTCAGGGCGCAAGGAACCAAAATTGTAATGCCTGGCCTTATAGAGATGCAGGTAAAGTCTCTACAGGATATCGACCAAATTATGAAACTTGGAAGTAAGAATAGATCTGTTGCCGCCACCAAAATGAACTCTCAGAGGTTTTTTTTGAAGTTTTGGTTTGCTGATCGAAAATTTGTCGATTGGGACTGAAATATTGAGATGATAACTTTGTTAGAAATATTTTTTAAAATCATTGATCAATTTAATCTTATTATCGATTTTAATTATCAACAAACGAACCAAAAAACATTATAACAAAAAATTGAGAAGAAACCAACACCCAACTAACTCAAGCCAAAAAACTGAACGCCACACAGTTCCCGATCCCACTTAATTTTCATGGTGACAGTGGAGGGGCAGGACAAAACAACGGGGGCGTGCTCTACTGGGACTCTGACCCTCTGTGACCTTGCCGGCTCGGAGAGGGTCAGCAAGACGGAGGCCACGGGGCAAAGGTTGGTCGAAGCCGCAGCTATCAATAAGTCCTTGTCCTCTCTCGGACAGGTAATTTAGAATTGTAAAAAAATTTGGTAAATAATACTTCATTGTCTATGACCGTTAAAATAGTGTTTTTGGTTTGTTCGTTTTGTTTTTCATAGAAGTAATTTAGAATGTTTGATTAATTGAGCGATCTGAAAACATTTGCATAAATATCTTCAAATAGGTCTTCACAGCCCTGAAAACAGGTCAGTTACACGTGCCTTACAGAAACAGCAAACTGACCCATATATTGCAGCCGTCATTAGGCGGAGATGCAAAGGTCAGTTAAAGAAGTGACCTTTTTTCCAACATCCAACCCTTTCCTATTTTTTCTACATCCAACTGTTTCAATTTTTCATCATTTACCTATATTCATCTTCTTCTTTGATATAATGTTCCATACATCCATCTTTTTATAGTTCTCCCTGACCCCAACTTTTTTCTATACACTTGCCTACATTCGACTTTTTTATAACTTTTAAAATATCCTACTCAAACACATTTTTAATTAGTACGTTATAATTCTACATCTATCAGGAATAATTATTTGAATGAATTTTGTAAAAAAGATAATTAAACAATTTGCAAAACATATTTTTAAAATACCTCACTCGAAAAATTTTATAATTAGCAAGTCTCAATTCTTAGGTGTTATCAGTAAAAAATATTTTCACAAAAATTTTCACAATAAAATACTTCTTCCCAAGGCTTGTTTGTTCGTCATGGTAAGTCCCGATATAGAGAATCTCTCCGAAACCGTAAGTACCATGCAGTTTGGATCGAATGCACAGCAAGTACAGCTCGGTCAAGCTAAGAAGAATATCTCGAACAACCCTAGAGGGTCGTAATTCCGGTTTTTTCTCCGTAATTGCGACAAATTTCACGAGTTTTTCTTAGAAGGAATTGAAATACGATTAGTGCTACGGGGATTAAATGTGAATTTATTACGGTCGAAATGGTTACGATTTAATGTACTATAGTTTATTACAAAATAACGACGATTTAAATATATTTTTATAGATTTTTTGTGAGTTAATGCTTAAAATGCTTAAAATGTGTACATAATATAAGTGAAGATTATTATTTTATTAAATAACTTATTTTAACCAAAAATTCACAAGCTTATTTAACATTTTATGGTTTTCTTTTTAAATTTGATTATACATGTGCGTTAATACTGAACAAATAAGCTGTTGATCTCACTGTGACAGGAAATTTGCTTCACTACCAAGTCAAGAAATTTTGTCAAGTTTGACAAAATTCCGCTAAGAGTGTTTGTTCTCAACATCTTCCTTTTATAATTGTGATACTATGTGCAACTTTACTTAAATTCAACATCATCTAAATGCTTGTGATAAAATTTGCATTGTTATATTATATTATTCAATATATTTTTGATTGAAAGATCATCTTTTGTACCGTATTAGTGCCATTGTATGTGTGTGTATGTATGTGTGTATGTATGCGTGTGTGTATACATATATACATGCATATATACTACCTGATAACTGTTGTGTTATATCGCTTGAATTTTAATAAATAGAATAGAAGAGTGCAGGCAAAGTTTGCATCTTTTGATTTGACGTCTTCACTTCCAGATATAGTTTGCACTTTCAAAATTTATCTACAGCTATATATATCTATGTGCAACTTTACTTTAATTCAAAATAGCATTCAAATACTATATATAAATATATAGTATTTGAATGCATTTGAACGCTGAAATGGATTTTCTTAATTTCTAACTCTTGGATTTTTGTTTATTTAGGACTTAGTTAAGGATGGCCTCTCCACAAGTTTATTTTAAACTTATTTGGTACTCTATAATGGAAAAAATAAATAAATAAATATGTCCCCATAGCGTCACATTACGACATCACACTCGGTACGAAGAAGTCACTCGTTTGGTTGGCAAGAACATTTCAAGGGATGGAAAAACAAATAAATTCATTAATACATTGAATCTGTAAATAAATTAATTTCACAAATTATTATCCACAAATATGATTCATTCATTCATCCATCCTTTAATTCATTCATCCATTTATTTGTTCATTCATTCATTCATTTATTGTTTCAAAAATATTTATTACATAATTAATTAACTAATTCTCTAAATAATTCACCAATAAAAATTGTAATCTTTAACAAGCAAAGAAATGTCGGTAAAATACCTTAGAACGGGAATGATAAACTTGAAAATAAACCGACAGATTATCACTATAATTGTCTATAATTTTATTATCATTGATTGATTGATTGATTGATGGATTGAATGGTTAGAGTATTTTTAATTAATATTATTTCTATTACTGTTTATTACTATTATTATTAGCTGCTTGTAGTAGTAGTAGTAGTAGCGGTGGTAGTAGTAGTAGTGTCATCTTTAATATCAGTCTTGGCGACATCTAAAAATATAATATAATTATCATTATTATTATTATTATTATTAGTATTAATATTATTACTATTATTATTCAATCAATCAATCAATTAATCAATCAATCGATCATCAATCAATCAATCAGTCAACCGCAGACCAAACGAGCCAACCATTATTGTTGGTCATAGCGAAGGCGTCCATATTTTTCTCCCCTCTGAAGAAGATCCTTGCGCTGCTCAGTGAAAAGGATAGCAAGTCGAACTCCTGTGAATGAACGAATGAATGAATGAATGAATGAATGAATGAATGAATGAATGAATGAATGAATGAATGAATGAATGAATGAACGAATGAATGAATGAACGAACGAATGAATGAATGAACGAACAAATGAATCAATCAATTAATCAATGAATGAAAAAGAACAAACAAACGAACAGACAAACAAACAAACAAACAAATAACAACAAAAACATTAAAAACAACCCCAAAACCACAAAACCTGCTGGTAGGCCGCCAATCTCTTCAGCGTCAGCATCATCGTCTGCTGCAGCTTCTCGTCCAGTTTTGCCGCCGCCGGCTGTTTTTTGATGTCTTGCTGCATTAACGAGTTAAGAATTTTACTCCAAATACAACAAATAAGGTCACGTCAGGTGAAATTCATTCCTACATTCAACCATTCTTTCATTCAACCATTCATTCATTCAACCATTCATTCATTCATTCGTTCATTTATCCATTCGTTCATTCATTCATTCATCCATTCATTCATCCATTCATTCATCCATTCATTCATCCATTCATTCATCCATTCATCCATTCGTTCATCCATTCGTTCATCCATTCATTCATTCGTCCATTCATTCATTCAAGCATGTTTCATGAAAACCTTCTCCTTGTTATATTTCTCTTTGACGGATTGAAACCAATGCAGAGAATCAAAGTCGCTATACTGGTCCAGCAATTTCAATATGTAAGCTATTCCTATGTGTATAAGAGTGAGCACGTGTTAATGAGTGTACGTAAGTGTGTGTGTGTGTGTGTGTGTGTGTGTGTGTGTGTGTGTGTGTGTACGTTTTAATGATTATATGTGGTGCGTGTGTGTGTGTGTGTGGGTTAACGAATGTTTGAATTCGAAAGAACACAGAGAGAAATAAACACACAACATACAACACCATTCACATATTTACATATACACACTCGTACGAACACAGACAAACACACAGACACACACACATAGACACACATACCCATAGCGAATCCATCATCTGTGAATGAGGCACCGACCTTGTTTTTCCTACTCAATTTATCCTTGCTAGCTATCATATGGTCAACAAAATTGAGAGTCTGGAAGTGAAGAATTTTTAAAATTTAAAATAAAAAATTATTTTATTATAACAATTATTATTGATCTATTATATTTATTCATTTTTTTCTATAATTAAATTATTCCTCAGAGATCGTCATCATCATCATCAACAACATCATCATCATCAACATCATCATCATCATCATCAACAACAAAAACAACATTATCATCGTCAACACTATCATCATCATCATCAACAACATCATCAACAACAACACCATCATAATCATCAACAACATCATCATCATCACCAACAACATCATCACCGCCAACAACATCATCATCAACATCATCAACAACATCATCATCAACAACAACATCATCATCGTCAACAACATCATCAACAACACCATCATCATCATCATCACCGCCAACAACATCATCATCATCAACAACAACAACATCATCATCATCACCACCAACAACATCGTCATCACCACAAACCAGTGGAGGCAGAATGGCGTAGAAATTTCTCATGTGCATGTTCTTACTATCTTGGAATTCCGATGAAAAGACCTCAACCAGCATCTGTAGACAATAATAACAATAATAAAAACATCAATAACAACAATAAAAATGATAATAACAATCAATCAATCAATCTTCGTTTAGCGTCCAGAAACCCAATTTCCCCGAGGTAGGACGTTGTTTTCTTTTTTTGCGCCAAATTAGACGAGGTAGTAGTAATCATCATGTTTATTATGATGACTAATAGTAATAATGATAACCTGTATCTGTGTCTAAGGATTAATGGATCTAGATAATCTGTATCTAAAGAATTAGTGGATCTAGATAATCTGTATCTGTATCTAAAGATTTGTGGCGCGCCCTTATTGAATAACTTCAGAATGATAGTACAGTGATGATGACCTTGAAGTATTCCGTCCCTTCGGAGAAGTTCTTAGTCATGCTGCTGACCACTGAGTCCAGGTGCCTTCGAAAAGTAAGTAATAATAATAATAATGATAACCAATCAGCTGAACAACCAAGTAATCAACTTCTCAATCACCCTACCAACCAACCAGCCAACTAACTAAACAATTGGCCAGCCTACCTACCAACCAGCCAACCAACCAACCAACCAACCAACCAACTAACCAACTAACTAACCAACCAACCAACCAACCAACCAACCAACCAGCCAACCAACTAACTAACCAACCAACCAACCAACCAGCCAAACAACCAGCCAACCAACCAACCAATCAATCATTCCGAAAAAAATCACACCTAGCGGCATCGATAGCCTCCCCATCTAGGCCCTCCTCTCTACATAACTCTTCAAAGTTGACAATGTCGTCGAGGTCAGGAACGAACCTGATGGCATTGGCACAACAGTGCAGACCTCCTGACCTTATGAGTCTTATGTAACCCATTGCGTTACCTTTGGTGTATGTTTGGTCGGTTGGTTGGTTGGTTGATTATTTGGTTAGTTGGTTGGATGGTTGGTTGGTTAGTTGGTTGGTTGGTTGGTTGGTTGGTTGGTTGGTCGGTTGGTAGGTTGATTGGTTGGTTGTTCATTAGTAAATTGATTAATTCAATCATTTAGTCACTCATCCAATCGTCCATTCATTCATTCATTCATTCATTCATTCATTCATTCATTCATTCATTCATTCATTCATTCATTCATTCATTCATTCATTCATTCATTCATTCATTCATTCATTCATTTATTCATTCATTCATCCACTCATCCATCCATCTATCCATCCATCCATCTATCCATCCATCCATCTATCCAACCAACCAATTTGTGTGATGAGCAGTCTGAATTGATCCAGATAACTCAATCCATCCTTTGACATCCCAAGCTTCTTAATACCTCTGTTGAATTTCTCGGCTCTATCGAATGGATACTAGGATGATGTGGTGATGTGTGTATGTGTGCGTGCGTGCGTGTGTGAGAGAGAGAGAGAAAGAGTGCATTTGTATGTCATCATCATCATCATCATCATCTAGAATGACATCATCAGCCATCATCATCAGATAATCATCTCCCATCTCCTCTACCTTCTGGTTGGTTTCAGCGTGGTTCTCTTTAAAATACCTCAAGTCCTAGAAAAAAATTCAATCAATTACACAATCAATCAACAACAACAATAACAATAATAATAACAATAATAATAATAATAATAACTTTAATTAGCCTGGATTTGATGTGCTCGTCGTATAGGAATTGCGAGAAGATGAAAAACTTCTTAGCCAGGAACTGATAGGTGAAGTTGACCGTGGTGTTCATTATACCTGCCGGAAGTGAATAATAATAATAATAATAATAATAATAATAATAATAATAACAATAATAATAATAATTAAAACTCTTTTATTATCAATGAATCAGCAGTAGGTGGAATGAAATAAAAATAAAATTCCATCGTACAGTATGATGAAACCACAATGCTCATTATCTAGCATAAGTGCTTGAGGTAGTTTATTTAACAATTATAATAATAACAATAATAATAATAGAAATGATAATAATAATAATAATAATATACCTGTTCCGTGTGTTCGAATTGAGTTGGAGGTGTGTTGGATGTTGATGGTGCTCAAGTGCTTATTGTTGCTTGACTTCTCAACAAAAATCTTTAAAATAATAATAATGATATACCGTGAAATCAAATTTATATATCTATATCATCCATCCATTCGTCTATCTATCCATCTATCTATCTATATATCTATCTATCTATCTAATTCAAATTTGATACCTATGTTTATATCTAATCTTATTTACCTATCTTTTTATACATTGTTTTAATATCTGTGTCTAAATAATGTTGTGTGTGTTTGTGTGTTTGTGTGTGCGCGTGCGTGTGAGTATGCGTGTAAAAAAATTAATTTAATTCTAAGTAACACCTGGTTATTAAGATTGTAGTGGAACTTGGAGACGAAGACGTGAATGTTCCTCATGATCTCCAAAATATCCAGGCCCTGAATGGTCACAAAAATTTCAATTTTCAGTCTAACCAATCTGCCAACGAAAAAACCAACCGACCAGCCAGCCAACCAACCAATCAACCAACCAGCCAACCAGCCAGCCAGCCAGTCAACCAGCCAGCCAGCCAACCAGTCAACCTGCTCAATAGTCTGACTGGGTAGATGAGGTTCCAGCAACTGCAGACCGTAGGCGTGTTTGGCCCAAACTTTCATCTGACTGTAGGTCTTCCAGTCATGTAGGGCCACAGTTGTCAGGTTGTAGAAGGTCTTGTCCAGGTAGTTCTCAACTATTGCTGATGATGATGATGATGACGAAGATGATGATGGTGATGGTGGTGATGATAATGACGAAGATGATGATAATGATGATGGTGATGACGGAGATATTCGTGGTGATGATAACGATGATGATGATGACGATTAAGATGTTGCTGACGAAGAAGACAAAAATGATACTAAAGATGACGACGACGACAGTGATGGTGACGTCACGATGATGAGTATGATGACGTCAACGATAATGACGTCACTAACTTTTCACGTTGACGATTTCATCAAAGAGGACGAGAGGGGGCAGCTTGATGAAGTGGGATAGCTGCTTCGTTGGCACCTGTTTTTATTATTATTATTATTATCATTATTATTATTATTGTTGTTGTTAGTAGTAGTAGTAGTAGTAGTTAGTAGTAGTAGTAGTAGTAGTAGCAGTAGTAGTAGTAGTGACAGGAGTAGTAAAAGTAGTTTCTTTATAGTAGTGGAAGTAGTAGTATTGTTATTATTATTATTGACGGTTATTATGATGATGATGACGAGAAAGATGATGACGATGATGATGAGGAAAATGATGACGATGACGATGAGGAAGATGATGACGATGATGATGAGGAAGATAGTGAGGAGGAAGAAGATGATGACGACCTTAAATGGGTTCCTGCTATCCAGCTGCAGATGAAGATGCATACTGAGTCTAAGATCCGTCTCAATCTCCCGACATACAACGTCCAAAAAATCCTGATTATGATGATGATGATGCATCAACATCATCATCACCATCGTCATCATCCCCAACATCATCATCATCATCATCATTCCCAACATCATCACCATCATCAGCAAAGGGCGAAAAAAAATTTCCCGCCAAAAAACCTCATTCAAAATCTTCCTGACGTAACGCTGGTAGGGTCTGAGGACTGACAGGTCGGAATCTTGAGAATGTCGCGTCATCAGTAACGACGTCGTGACGTCATTCAGAGCTTGTAACATGTGCTGGGCGATGGTGGTGACGAAGAAAAACCAGACGAGTCAACTAACAACAACAACAACGATAATAATAACAACAACTACTACTACAGCAACAACAATTTCAAAAGTTTCAAAGTTTGATCATAATCAACAACAAATCAAATAGGTGAATAAAAGTTAAGAAGTTGAAGACCGAATAATGTCTTATTCGGTCAGGTTATATTGACTTGTGGTCAATCTAACCTGTAACCTTGAAGAGGTCGCGGGGTCATCAATAAGGCTGCCAAAATACGTTGGTAGTATGACTCTGTGCCAGTATAGGAAACTGCCATCTGATGATTCTTGGATTCTACGGAAAGAAAAGTGGTATAAAATAAAAATAATAATAATTGCCGGCTAGTCTCGTTATTAGTATCGTCTTGTAAATCGTCGTCTTGTCTCGTAAATAGTATCGTAAAAGATTTAGAAGACCATTAAAACATCTGAAGACCATGCAAAACGACAAAAGTTAACGGTATCGTCTCGTTAATCGTCGTCTCGTTTATCGTTGTCTCGTTAAACCGTCCTCCCATCTTGTCTCGTCTCGTTAATTGTCCTCTCGTCTCGTTAATAATATGAATAATAATTTTCGAAAAAGAACCAACAATGTCTTGAAGTTTGTGAATCGGTCTATATCTTCCAGGTAGACTCTTATACTCACTAGCTCATCATCTTTGAATGCCTTCTATAATTAATTAATTAATATCATTGTAATTATTATTGTTATTATTATTATTATTATCATTATTATTATTATTATCGCCATCATTATACATTATCATTATAATCAAAAACAACTTGAAGAAGAAGAAAAAGAAGACAACATGTACCAACATTTTTCACGCAGAACCCTAGAGCTAATTTCATCGCCAAGATACGTTCATTAGTCACTGAAATAATTTCATTTAAAGGAACATTCAAATTATATTATTATTATTATTAAGAGAAAATATATATATATATATGTTTGTGTGTGCGCGCGTGTGTGTGTGTGTGTGCAATATTTGATATAACCTACCGAATTTTTAGCTTTTGAAAGTTGTGTACGATAGAGCTTTTTGTAATTTTATAATTATTATCCAATTTATTAAAAATAATTAGAAAACCTTTCCATCTATCCATCCTTTTATAAATCTATCCATCTATCTATCCATCCATCTATACATCTATCTATTTATCATACCCTACCCATGATACCAAGTTTTTGGACGTTGTACAGATTGTACACGCGTCTTTTGTATACTCCCATGAAGTTAAAACTCCACGTAGATGGCGTTAAGTTAATTGAAGAACAATTTGTTTAAAAGGCAGGTACGTACTAGGTCCAGCTAGGCACTGCAGCATAAGTTCGAAGGCTGATAAGACTTCAGGTCTCACCTTCTTATCACCTCTCACTCGCTTCTGAGTGAAAATTTATCATTTATCAATTGAATTCTTCATTATAATAAAAAAAGTCATCAAAATAACAATAATAACAACAGCAAAAACGACAACAAACAAACAACAACAAACAAACAACAACAAACAACAAACAAACAACAACAACAAACAAACAAACAACAACAACAAACAACAAACAACAAACAAACAACAAACAACAACAACAACAAACAAACAACAACAAACATACAAACAACAACAAACAAACATACAAACAACAACAACAAACAACACAAACTCACATTTGCATTGGAAATGACGACCGCCATAAGTAGCGAGAAATACTGCACCAAGTAGGAAGCAGTATTCACAACCTGAATACTAAACCTATACCAACTACCCTCTATAACTTTCAACATCTCCACCACATGGCAGATATTATTGACCAGGGACTTGGTCATTGGTCTGTTCAGGGTGGCGTGGGTGGTCAGCAGGGTGGCAGAGGTGTTACGCAGGTAGAAGGATTGGATCAAGCCCTGGTCGGTTGGTTGGATGGATGATTGATTGATTGATTGGTTGATTGGATGGTTGGCTGGTTGGTTGGTTGATTGGTTGGTTGACTGATTAGTTGGTTGATTGTTTGGATGATTGGTTGGTTGGTTGATCGGTTAGTTGGTTGGTTGGTTGGTTGGTTGGTTGGGTGATTAATTAGTTGTACTGCTGTTCATGTTGGTGACGTCATTATTATTATTATTATTATAATGGTAATAATAATAATAACTTATTATTATTATTATTATTATTATTATATTTATTATTATTATAGTTTTGATGTAAAAATGACAACAAAATAATAAAATGAGTGAGAAAGTTTAGAAAAAAACCGACACTAGAAAAAAAAACACTTCACCTGCTGAAGTAATTTGCACTTCTCAATTAGCTCCTCGTTAAACCTCGGGTCAGAAAGTTGAACCGACGATGACGTCAATGACGACGGAAGTGACATCAGATAGCCTTCAAGTTTGACAATCCACTGAGCAAGACCGGCTTCAAATGCAGGCAGCTGCCTGGAGTGTCAAATTGAAGTGGTTAAAAAATTTGGGATCATTTATTTGGACGGTGGTTGGATTTCTTCAGTTTTAATTAGCTGTCGTTTTAATTTGTTGTTATATAAAAAATGTATGTCTCTCTCCCCCCCCCCTCTCTCTCTCTCTCTCTCTCTCTCTCCCTCTCCTCATCTCTGCTGTCCATCTCTTTCTTGCTCTGATTCACTTTCTCTCTCTCTTTCAATTCATCAAAAATTTTACGAATTAAAAGACTAAATTATCTTCAGTAAGTTCAACAGCTTCGCAGATTCAACACTCTGCAATTTTTTCCTTCACTCACTCTCTCCTTCTCGTTCTCTCTCGCTCCCTCTTTTTCTCTCATTTCTCTCTTTCTCCCCCGAATTTAGCAGCAACTAACAAATTAAGACACTGAACCATCTTCTGGAGATTGAGCAGCTTCGCGGACTCCATCGCCTGCAATGTCTTCTTATCAACGACCATCTGGTTGAGTTTCGGCAGCATCCTAGCTAGGAATTCACTTGGATAGAAGACTGAAGAGCCAGTAAGTACTAAGCAAGGTATCTAGATGAATGAATGAAAGAATGGATAGATAGATAGATGAATGGATGGATGGATGAATGGATGGATGAATGGACGGACGGATGGATGGATGGATGGATGGATGGATGGATGGATGGATGGATGGATGGATGGATGGATGGATGGATGGATGGATGGATGGATGGATGGGATGGATGGACGGTAGGATGGAGGGATGGATTGACGAATGGATGAATGAATGGATAAATGAATAAATGAACGGATGGATAAAATACTAAAACATTAGCACTGACTAATAATTCAAACTACAAACCTTCTTATGAACATCAAACAGAGTCTTAAACATTTTTTTATCCTGGCTCTGGAAGACAGATTGGTGTAGAACAAAGAGGCAGAGAACGCCTATCAGCCTCGCTCTCTCGTTCATTTCAGAGACCTCCCCTAACAACAATAATAAAAATAAACTCTCTATTTGTAGCAAAATAAAAATAATAATACTTAATTCTTTTTTATTGACTTATTGGTTTTTATTATTATACTTCCGTCAATCTAATTTTAACTTTCTTTCTCTCTTTGTCTCTCCTCTCTCTCTCTCTCTCTCTCTCTCTCTCTCTCTCTCTCCTCTGTAAAGGAATGCAGAATGATTGCATTATATTACAAATATATAAATGTTATAAACCAAACTGACCATAGAAAACAACAACAACTTACGTTTAGACGACATTTTCTCCGAGATCGGGGTTGCCGTTTGGCTACCTATGATGAAACCGAAATACCCCTCGACGCCATCCACATCTGTCACTCGCCTCAGTATCACGCAACCCCGCTTTCACCCTGTCCTTCTCCACCTGCTCTTTCCATCCCAATCGCGGACGACCCCTTCCTACCACTCCTTCAACCTCGAACTCCAACGCTCGCCTAATCCCGACCCTTTCATCCCTTCTCAACACATGTCCATACCACCGCAATCTCGATCTCCTTATCAATGTCACAATGTCACAATGTCCTCATTCAGTCCCATCGTTGACATCAGCTCTGTACTACTCCTCCTATCCTTCACTTTAACCCCACACATCATCCTCACCATAGCTCTTTCAGCCCTCTGCAATACACTTTCCTCCTCTCTCCTCAACACCCAAGTTTCACCACCATATACCATCGCTGCTCTCACACATGCTTTATATACCCTCCCATTCATCTTCACTGACCATTTCTTTCCACACAATACCCCACTCAGCTCCCTAAATTTCATCCATCCTATACGAACTCTAGCCGTAACTGCGCTCAAACATCCTCCATCCGCGTTCAGCTTATCCCCTAAGTAAACAAAGCTTTCCACTCTTTCAATACCACCACTCAACCCCGTCCTTGCGTCCGTCCTATTAATCACAACATGAACACATTTCTTACATTTGAACGTGCCTTCAACCTTTTTCAGTGCCCCCCTCACACCACTACATCTCTTATGCACCCATTTCTGACATCCTATACACAATACCGAGTTAGCCTTCACTCTCCTGTCACATACCCCACAGGGGTATGACCATAGAAAAAAAAAGTTAGAAATCACACTGGCCATAGAAAATAAAGTTTTTGAAATCAAACTGACCATAAAAAACAAAGCGCAAACAACCAAATTGACCATAGAAGTGTTACAAATAATCGAACTGACCAATTTTTTGGTCAACCCTAGACCATAATTCTTTAACGGCGGCCATGCATTCGTCGGAGAAATGTTTGTTGGTGGAGACGTTGATGCTGAATTCTGGCTCCTCAAACTTCTGGTTAATGCACGTCTGTAAAATGAAATAATAATAATAATATAATAATAATAATAATGATAAATAATAATGTAATTCCTAGAATTTATTATCTATAAATTTAAAAAAATAAAATAAAAAATGTTCTCAAAAAACTTGAAACATGGAGCCCTGCATGACGACGTTATCTACGCGGTTTAACATTACGATGAACTGCTGCATCTGATCGGAGTTCACTTTTACACTCTCCGGACTGCTATAGACGCTCTTTATCATTCTGAAAAAATGTTTGCCTCATTTGTGGAGTGAAAAAAAAACCTCTTGATTATCAACCATTATTACTATTACTGCTACGATTCATTCATCCCTAAGTTAATTAGTTTCAGAGGTGTCGTCAGCAACAACACACCCACACACGCACATCACACGCAAACACACGCACACCCACGCAAGCACGCAAACACACACACGCACACACACACAACACTAGAGCATCCGAATCAGGCGCCTTAGTCGTTACACTATTTCACTGTCCGTCCATGCTTTATGATAGTAAATTATTAATTTTAAATATTCAAATTAATTAAAAACTAAATATAATCTAAAATAAATAAATAATAATGATAATAATAATAACCTTTTATACATCTTCCAATGTTCTTTTAGTAAGGTTTGATTGTCTATTACGTGGTCTAAGACTGCTAAATGGTGCATCAGCTGGCCGATGTGTTCATAAACAACCTGTTGAAATAAAAATTTACATTCTTCGGTATTATTCTATATTCAGTTTATTTTTAAAATATAGATTTTTTATGTTTTGTAGGTCAGTCAGTCAGTAGGTTGGTGAGTTAGTTGGTCAGCTGGTCGGTCAAACAGTCAGTCAATTGGTTGGTCTGAATGAATGAATGAATGAATGAATGAATGAATGAATGAATGAATGAATGAATGAATGAATGAATGAATGAATGAATGAATGAATGAATGAATGAATGAATGAATGAATGAATGAATGAATGAATGAATGAATGAATGAAATTAAATGAATAACAAAATAGCCAAGAGTACAACGGTCGTAATAAGCATATTACTAATGAATAACTTTAAAAAAAATATAACTAACAAAACAACAACGACAACCAAATAATAATATTCCTAAACCATTATTTTGAAATTTTAAATTTTAGACAAAAAAAGCTCACCGTTAAGTTAGAGCCAGAAATATCCATGCTCCTAATAGAAGCACTGTTAAGAGAAAAAACAATTACTAGCAAATGAATATCTATATCATAAAAATTCATTCGTTCGTTCGTTCATTCGTTTGTTCATTTGTTCTTTAACTCGTACGTTCATTCATTCAATCGTTCTTTCGTTTGTTCATTCATTCATTTAGTTTAGCCAATGGGTAATACCTTTCATTGGTATAGAAGATGCAAAGCTGAAGAAGGCAGTTCCTCAAAACATCTGTACACCTTCCAACATATTTATATAGACCCTGGAATCATTCAATCATTCATTCATCATTCATTCATTCGTTCATTTATCATTCATTCATTCATTCATTCATTCGTTCATTTATCATTCATTCATTCATTCATCATTCGTTCATTCAATCAGCAGTAAGTCGGTCATTCATTAATCAATTTCGTTCAATTTTTTTAATTCAAACTTTCAATCGTTAATTAATTCATTACTTCACTTAATAATAATAGGTATTAAAATAATAATAATAATAATAATAATAATAATAATAATAACCACTAAGATGGGAAGCATCCTTCCAATCTGCAGATGTATGTCTCCATCTTGTTTCTCTGCATGTTCATCTGTTAGTAAATAGATAAATAAATAATAATAATAATAATAATAAAATTAACTGGACAAATGATAAAATAACCCTCACCCCCTTCACCATAGAAAATTAATTGCAGATAAAAATTTTCAACGGCCTCTCGTTCCAAAGTTTGAATTTCTATGCATAGGGAAGCAAAGACTCTAAGAATTTTATCAAAAATGATATTGTCCGTCTCGATGAGTTCATCTATCGAGGCAAGTTCATTGGGATGAAACTTTTAGGAATAAAATTAAATCTATGATAAAATAATTAAAAATTTTAAATTAAATATCTAAAAAATTAACACACTCACACACACATACGCAGCACATACAAACACACATGTTCGCACACACCACACCCCACAAACATTCAGAACTAAATGAAATAAAATAACAGTTAGGGCAATTGGATTTAGGACTATATCCCAAACCGTATGGCTGAAAACATCGGTGCTTATTTGTAAGTTATGTAAGTTTGCTGTGAAATCATTCACGAACGACTCGTAAGATTTCAATGTTAATTCTCTGACAATTTCTGAAAAATAAGGAAAAAATGTTAAAATTTAACTAAAGTAGTTATACAATAAAAGCACATACAATAAAAATTAAAAACTAACATACTATAGTATAGAGAGGTACTACAAAAACTACATACATACTGATTTAATACATTTTTATACATTCATACCTATATAAATACGTACACAAGCTACACACTATTCACATGATACATACATGACACACAAACACACACTCGCATACTTGAAGAATCATCTTCAAACTTGACTGCATGAATTTTTTCAACAGATTCCACCATCATTGACTATTACTAATTAGTTTAGTTTTTCAGTTAGTGTCCGAGTTTAGTTAATTAGTGAAAGAAAAATAAGGATTTCGGCAAAAAAAAATTATTTTATTATTATTAAGTAATTTATTAAAAAAAAATTAAATAATTAACTATTTAATTTTTATATTTATAACATTGTATTTCAAAAAATATTTCAATGAATTATTAACAAATAATAAATTCATAAAAAATATAAAAATTAGTTTTATTTAATTTTTATCTAATTATAAATTAATAATTTATCGTACCGACGAAGAATCGAACATATGATTTCTGTTTACTATTATATGAGAGGTGTGTCTGAAATAAAGATGTACCACATACCGATATTCGTTTCACTAGTACCGAATCTTCTTTTAATCGGTAATTTTTCAATATTTAGTAAGTTATAAAGTAAACTGATAAATTAGTGAGTTTAAATTGTAAAGTTTAAAATTTGTTTTATTTCGTTGTGTTTCTTTTATCATTTATTGACAAGTTAGCTCAGCCGGTAGGAGTGCCATGATTGATATCTCGTGAATACGGTCTGCCCTACACTCAAACACTATCATACGTCATGTTATAAATATACAATACAAACATTTGTCGTGTTGTGTGAGTGTTACATAAATCAATCAATCACGCAATCAATTAGTTCATAAAGCGCTATTTCCGCGATGTTCAACTGCGCTCCTCAATGAACTTTGCAAACAGATGGGTCTTGAGGTCCGCTCTGAACTTCGTAAGTGATGGAGAAGTAGACAGAGAAAGAGGTAGAGAGTTTCAGAGAAAAGGGCCAGAAAAAGCAAATGCAGATTTAGCAAAAGAGTGTTTAAGACGAGTTAAGAAGAAGCGAGAACAAGAAGACGATCGTAAGAACATTGTGGGATGAACAACGGATAGTCGCTGAACTGCAAAGCGAAAATGTCAAGACTGTTTAGCACATATATTTTTGTTTGCCACCGTTTTGCCATTCCTAGTATAACATTTTCATTAACTCCAACCATAGAAACCATTACACACACACACACACACACACACACACACACACACACACACACACACACATACACACACACACGTAACTAAAGTCAAAAACAATTTCGGAAACATTATATCGAAACTAAAGAGTAACATTTTCTTCAAAAAAAACAAAAACAAAAAATAAATATAACATAAACTGTCAAAAACACAATTTCTCAATCCCTGACGCACTGAAGAGGCAAAAAGATAGCAAGGCCTATTATTATCACTAAGATTATTAAAGTAACATTAAAAAATTCACATCCACATCGAAACAAGGAAATTCAACTAGAGCTACATTAAAAACGAAGATAAGCAAAAGATAAACAAAACACGACACGACGATTTCATTCAGGACACACGCTACACAAACAGCAACAGCAGAAGTAGTAGTAATAGTTGTACTGGTAGTGGTAGTAGTAGTAGTAGTAGTAGTAGTAGTAGTAGTAGTAGTAGTAGTAGTAGTAGTAGTAGTTGAAGTAGTAGTAGTAGTAGAAGTAGTAGTAGTAGTAGTAGTAGTAGTAGTAGTAGTAGTAGTAGTAGTAGTCGTAGTAGTTGAAGTTTTAGCAGTAGTAGTAGTAGTAGTAGTAGTAGTAGTAGTAGCAGAAGTAGCAGTATTTTAAATTTAAATAAATTTAAATCCAAATTTAACTGAACTATGCAGATAGAAGATCAAAAGAACGAATCGAAAGGAAAAAAATAAAAACACGAAATGGTAGACTTGTACGTTACCGACAGTACTACTACTACTACTACCACTACTACTACTACTACTACCACTACTACCACGACCACTACTACAACTAGTAGTAGTAGTAGTAGTAGTAGTAGTAGTAGTAGTAGTAGTAGTAGTAGTAGTAAAAAATAAATCTCTAGGGTAGGACAAAATTTTTTGATGAAAATAAGATGGAAAAATCAAAGGAAGTTGAAGAAATTAAAAAAATAAATAAACTTACATAAAAAATAATAAATTATTATTATTATTGTCGTCGTCGTTGTTGTTGTTGTTGTGGTTTTTGTTGTTTGTTGTTGTTGTTATTGTTGTTGTTGTTATACTTATTCGTAAAATTATTCGTATAAAGCCGTAAAAAAATCAAGTCCGTCCCAGACAGTTCATTAAAAACAAATTGAAATCCCGAAATGAAAGCGTTTTAAAGTGTGAAAAAATAATAGATGACAATAACAACGTTGAAACTGTTAAAAAGTAATAATTTTTTAATTTAATTTAATTTTAATTTTAAAGATTTAATCCCCAAAATCCAAGAAATGCTAATAAAGGATAGCCCGTAGATGTGAATTTATGGTTAATAATAGGTAGAGATATTTTACGCTAGGGTGTACATCAAACAAAATTTCATTCATTTATTTTTTTCCTCCTTCAAACCATCAGGCCGGCAGTTCGCGCGTTTGGCGGCAATAAAAACAGACAATTAATAAAGCAATAAAACTTATACATGCATATATTTCTCGGTGTATGTGTACGTGTGTGTGTTTACGTGTGTGTGTACGTGTGTGGTGTGTATGTATGTATGTATGTATGTATGTATGTATGTATGTATGTATGTATGTATGAATGTATGTATGTATGTATGTATGTATGTATGTATGTATGTATGTATGTATGTATGTATGTATGTATGTATGTTAAAACCAAAACATGATGAGTGACACTGAACCGTCAAACATGTATGTATGTATGTATGTTTGTGACAAACACACACACATTCCAACATATACATTATAGATGTATATTATATATATATATATATATATATATATATATATATATGTGTGTGTGTGTGTGTGTGTATACATACATAATATATACATAATATGCCATATTATAGTTGAGATCAGAGCGGTCTATAAAAATAAGAACAGATGAATCAAAATCTATCTCGAAATTTTGTTACTTGCGGACAGAAAGAGAGAGAGAGAAAGATTAAAAAATAGAAAATATTTTTAGTGAAACATTTTTAATTTTAATCTTTGCTATTTGTTTGATAATGTTTATTCGAGAGTTTTGATGAGAACAAGATTTGTGATTGTTGTTTTGTTCGTTTGTAGTTGTGTGGGAGATTTTTGAAGTTTTTCCGTTACATTTTCGCTTGAGTCACCCTGTTTCGATAAGTTCTTCCACATTTCAAGTATTCCAAAAAAAAATTTTGTCTTTTTTTCAATTTTACGATAAAGAATTTAATATTTTTGACATTTTTTTCAAAAATTTAATCCATAGTTTTGTCATTATATTTAATTTATTCTTAAAAGTTAGTTTTAATCGGATGAAAAACCATAAACTTTATCCATGAATGGTCATTTTTTAAAAATGAATGCTATCAATTTTCCATCTAACTTTTTATTTCTTCATCTATCGAATCGTGATCCATTTATCCATTAATTCATCCATTCATCCATTCATTCATCTATTCTATCTATCATTCAAAATAGCTATCTATTCATCTATCCATCCGTCTACCTGTCATTCATTCATCCATTCGTTCGTTCATTCATTCATCAATCTATTCATTCATTCATCAATCTATTCATTCATTCATCAATCTATTCACTCATTCATACATTCATTCATTCATTCACGCATTCATTCAGCCAGCCATCAATCCACCCATCAGTCGAACAGTAAAAGAAATCATTAAACATGACACACATGAAAACGATCAAATGCTTGGTAGCTGCTGCAGTAGCGATATCAGCTTTTCTTATCTGTCGCACCGACTGCTCATTAATGAATCAAAATCACCACAGCCTCAAACAGCAACAAGAAGCCATTAATTATTTTATTGACGCTGATGATGACGACAACAAAGAAGATGAAGATGGCAGTCCTTATCTGGATGTTTCTGAGAAGTGTTAGTTTTTTGTATGTGTGGTTGTCTGTTTGACTGTCTGTTCGGCTGTCAATCTATTTGGCTTTCTGTTTCGCACTGTTTGTCTGATTGTTCGTTTGACTTATCCTTATTAGCCTGTTTGTTTGTTTGTTTGACTGTCTGTTTGTTTGTTTGGTTGTTTTTTCGTTTGTTTGTTTATCTGTCTGTCTAATCGTGTGTCTGTCTCTCCGTATGCTTGTTTGTCTGTCTGTTTATCTTTCTGTCTGTCTGTTCATTTTCAATCGTTAGCTATGTTACTGATGAGAAATAATAATTTTTTCATTACAAAATCGTTTTCACTGATCTTATCTGGCTTATAGCGATTAAATATTTTCAGATTAACTCTTTTTATATATTTTTTTATTAGAATAATAATAATTATTATAATAAATATAATAATAATAATTATTAATATTATTATTTTTTAATTTTTCTTATTTTCATCGTAGAAGCTGATTCAAGTTTCCACATTTTGAAATCATAAAATCGAAGTAGCAGTAGTAGTAGAAGTAGTAGCAGCAGCAGTAGTAGTATTAGTAGTAGCAGTAGTAGTAGTAGCAGCGGCAGTAGCAGTTGTAGAAGTGCTTTAATTTCGGAATTTTAATCTTTTATGAGTAGTAATTTGAGGCGCGAAACGCTTCAAAACATCAAAGGGGAAATTCTTTTTGTTTTTTGTTTATAACAATAAACAAACAATAAACAGTAATAATAATAATAAGCAACAACAATAATATTATTAATTTTTTTATTTTTTTCACAAAAAAGGCTATTTATTTTTCGGCGAATTTCAAACATTTTTGCTGCTAAATTAATTACTTTATGTAGTTAATATTTTATCCAAAGCATTAAACAACATTTTTATAAGATGAACAGCAATAATAACGATATACAGTTGTAGTAGTAGTAGTAGTAGTAGTAGTAGCAGTAGTAGCAGCAGTAATAGTAGTTGTTGTAGTAGCAGTAGTAGTTGTTGTTGTAGCTGCAGCAAAATCTGTCGCAATAATGTAGTAATAACATCAGTTTTATTAACCTTGACCTTAGCTTAGCTTGGGGTGCGAAAAGTGAAGGGCCGAGTCAGCCTGGGCCGCTTCTCTGGGTATCATTTCAAAAGGGCGCATTTAAATTTTTCATTTAAAAAATGTTTCTTTGTGTGCCTATGTCTATGTATGTATGTATATCTGAATATATACGTGTGTGTGCGCGTGTATGAATGTTTGAATAGATGTGTATGTGTGTGTATTCGTGTTTAATGTGTGTTTGTATTCATGCGTGTGTGTATGTGTACAGTGTACAGTAGGCCTGACTACGGTAAATAAATTAGATTTAAAGTTGACGGATTATTTTATAACAGGACAGATGTACATTGTTTTAATTAAATTTGAAAGAAAACGCGTTCTTTTTTGGTCTTGATTTTAAAAATTAGAATATATGTGAATAAATAAATGCAAATATCCGTGTGTATGTGTGTGTATATATAATTATATGTATTGGTGAGTGTGTGTGTGTGTGTGTATGTGTGTGTGTTTAAATGTGTGTACGTCTGTGTGTGCGATAGAGATATGGAAAACTACCAGAATCTCTTGTGTCTGTCTGTCTGTCTGTCTGTCTGTGTGAGTGTGTCTGTATCTGTACTTGTTTGTCTGTGTGTGCGAGTTTGTGTGCGTGCGTGCGTGTGTATTTAGTTTTCTTTCTTCGTCTGTTTAATATTTATTCAATCATATCTTTATTTCTAGAAGTCTTCATTGGTATTCAAAGAGTGGATGAAACAGTTTAAACTAGTAGGAATGGCGGGCATGGAATGAAATTACTATTTTTAATACAAACTAGAAAATGGTTTTCGTATTTAATGAGACATACCTACTGCTAAAATAAAATTACCCGCAAGAGATAATATTAATATTTAATTAAAAAATCGGTAAAATAATTGGTTAAATAATTAGGTTTGTTAATTAGTGAATTATTCATTCTGATTAATTTAGTTTATTTAAATGAATATAGTAAATAAATATTAAATAATTAAAAATTTGGTAACGTAACCTTCAGCATTGGCTACACCATTGACTAACACGAACACGTCTTTACGCTATAAACCGTAAAGGCATTCAAGAGGCATTTTAGCTCACTTCCAGTTCTTAACTTTTCCATGTCAAAAATGTTCAAGTGTGTGTGTGTGTGGCTGGCTCTTAAAGCTGAACGCAATTAAGAAGTGTTTAGAAGACGAGATTTGTTGTGTGTGTGTATGTGCGTGTTGTGTGTATGTGTGTGTTGTGTGTATGTGTGTGTTGTGTGTATGTGTATATTTGAATGTTGTATGTACAGGTTCGTTGTGTTAAATGTTCTTTGGTGTTTAACTTGTGTTAAAAATTTTAATGTGCGTGTGTGGTATGTTTGTATGTGTAGTGTGTGTGCGTGCGTGCGTGTAATTGACGTTGTTAGATTTTGATATTTTGTTGTGTGTGTGTTTGTGCATGTGTGTGTGTTTGTGTGTGTGTGTGTGTGTGTGTGTGTGTGTGTGTGTGTGTGTGTGAG